TTAAGGGAAAGACAGAAGACACTTCAGTCAACAAATTCTTCAAGACACAACTCTATTGTAAGTATGCATCCATTTCTCCTCATCATTTACTCCCAAAGAATTTCAAAGATGCCATACACATCACGATGTTCGCGCTGCAAAAGTCTACCAAAAAGTCTACTAATATAAAAAACTTTCTGCTGTAGCACTTCATATCAACTGAGAGAAGCAATGGTTTGCTGGGTTAATTTGGGTCCACCTGCAATGCACCGAAGATTGCACGAGTGTGCGTGTGTGCACGCATGAGCATCCATGTGTGCGGCCACCAGACTGCTGGCCTTGAAATCTTTTTGACATTGTGTCTTCAGAATGTCCATGCTGGCCGTCTCCTGTGACATGGTTGCCTAGAAACAGAAATGGAGTGCCACCATCATTTAGTTTTAAAGAAAGCGCACCTCAGTTCCAACTGTTGCAGCTCTGTCATCTGGGGCTAAAACGGGGTGGAGGGGTTAGATAGAAAAACAGAGGACTAAAGGCTAAAGGGAGAGGGGAAACTGAGATTACTTTTTTGGTCGTTGAATTTAGTTTTCACGTAGATGAGTTAGCAGTAGTTGCCTTTTACACCAATGAGTTATGAAAGGACGACCCACTGTGAAAGGCTTGGCCAGCAAAAACAGTGTTATAAACAAGCTGATTCCAGTGCAGCGTGCTGCTGCAGGCTTAGAGGGATTAGGCAGGCAGGCTTAATTCAGCTGCAGCACTGTTTGAACTGTGCTTTCTCATCTCTGCACCTTTTATTGGTGCACATCATTTGCTTTCATGGAAACCGATCTGTATTTCTCTCAGACATTTTCAGTTTCAGACATGCATGTGAGCATACGTACTATTGATGAGACCTGACGTTCAAGAGAGAAGACTCTGCACACCAGCTGACACCTGGCTTCTGTTCCCTAATTTGAACTCTGCTGTGAGACAATAATTGTTTTTGACTTCTGTCAGTCCTCTCCCCTCACCTGTTCAAATATCTTCCGAACAGCGTTGAGGATTGCAAAGTGGAGTGGAACCTACAGATGAACCTGCTGACCTAGTCCACATGGCTAGCTTATTCATAGACAGACATGAGGCAGAGGGATGTTGAGGATGGCCAGACAATGGCCCGCCTATTTGTTGGCCTTGCAATCTCCATCTGGCTGCCCTCCAAGACCCCCTTGCTGCCCTTGCCTCCCTGCGCACACACAAACATACACACAGTTATCACAAGCCCCCTTCCCCCTCCCTACGCTCACTCACACTCAGCGCTTCTCTCACACATAAACAAGCATGAGTCTTAGGCTGATCTGAAAACATTGACCTACATAAAACCATGCTCTATCTTCTTCTCATCCACGACTAGCCTCTCTGAATTCACATTGAGCTGTTGCACATCACGCACACGTTGTTGCATGCAGTTGCAAGGGTTTTCAAGCAAATGCATTCTGTGCTTGCATGCACACTGGTAGTGGATGATTCAAACAAAGTCACTTTAAACAGATTTTTTTTCCACTTAAACATATTATTTGCCTGCAGTATCAATGCAAAGTGAAGCAGTCCGGAAGAGCCTTTTTAACACAATCAAAGAGCAGAGGAGGACGATAAGTGTGGGTCTAGAGCACAAAAGCTGCAATATTTGTAGCTGCTAACTTACCGCTACGCCTCATAGACTTGTGACACTTGTTCATTTTGTTTGTGTTGATCTCATTTGTCCCACGAATGCTACATTTTCACATCTGAGCCTGACACACGTTACGACCGTCGGAGATGAAAGCTGCCTTTTCAATTTCACTCTCACACGGTTTCAGTGGCAATGTCAGCCAAAAAAACGTGCAAATGCAGCAGAAAAAATGAGCACTCGACCCTGATTCACAATCACACAGGAAGTCATGATTTGGTGCTGAGTCCCTTATCTGTTTGCATATGTATGTCTGCATGTGAGCTCTTATGTGTAAGCGCGTGCATTGTGTGATCAGGAAACAACCACCGAGAGACTTGCATCATGCCAGTGTCTTCTGAGCCTGACATGATGCACGCCTCACTACCAACATAAACTTTCTATAGGCTAGAAACGACACATGAACATAAAAATAACTTCAAGTTCAAGTCAATTGCTTTTAAATAGTTTGTTTGTTTTCATCTCACTTTCAAAGCCAACAATAAAAAGTAAAGCTACAGATCAATGCTTGTGTTGCAGGTAGAAAAGAGAGAAAAGAAAAAGAGCATGTCATGCTACAATTTCGTAATTAATCTGTCTGCTGATTGAAACTTCTTGTGTGTTTTCATTAGAATGCAGCGGGAAGACTTGAAGAATGATGAGCTCCAAAGAGGAGGACTCGCTCAGTTTTTTCCATTACGTTGAGGAGAACGGGCTGAGAGCCTACAACGGCCTGATTGCTCAGAACTTGGACCACGTCAGGAATGAGAGAAATAGGGCATTCCTGCAGGAAAAAAACGACAAGAAAAGAAAACAGGACGAAGCCATACGGAGGTAGGTGACCAATAAGTTCACGCATCCATCAAAGATCCACTGATGTCCTAGAATATTTATTTTTATTCTAGCTTGAGCTCAAATGTTGCGCATCAGCGGGATTCTTTCTGGAAGTTTAAAGATGTGAATGGATTCACCTTAGGTCTGAGGAACTGGGACACGTGGCCAGGGGGGGGGGGGGGGGGGGGTCCCTGTGGTGGTGGCAGGCTGCTATATTTTGGAGTTTACTTGTGTGGACTGCTGTACCCCATGACCTACACCAGATAATTAATTTCTCAACTTATTTGGGACTCGTCCTTGTGGTGAGGTTATCTCTGCGCTATTTTGGAATATGAAGGATTCAAAATGAGAGGCTGAGCTGTGACAACGTGGATTAAAGTGATGGTTTTGTTATGCAGCTGCTGCTCAGAGAATGCTCCCTTCTGGGTGTTATGGTTTCACCATTGTGCTGATTTTTCATCTATTAATTTGCTGCGATAAAGCTGCACATTGTTTCGTAAGAATACAGTCAGTGAACACACACACACACACACACACACACACACCTACACTTAAAACATGACAAGCATGTGTACACAGCGTGCTTGTGTTGTGGGGTAATAGGAACACATTGGTGAAAAAACACCAATACATTCATGATCTACACAAAAACAGAAGAACATGTTTCTAACGATCTAATCATTCAGTGTACAAACAAAGGGTTGATGGACTTTTCTTCTCAGTGATTTTATAAAATGTGTTTTCTCTTAAGCTGTCAGAGACGACACAACGTATTTCAGCTTCTGCTGGTGGCTCCTCCTCGTATCCAATAGTACATTGATACAGTTTTGAGGAGCTGAGTGTTTATATGTGAGCGGATGCTGCTCTTCTTATCTGATTTGCTCAGAATTTGATCCCCATCACTTTTCTGTCAAAAGGTCATGCGATCAAAAAGAGCTGTCCTCTAAAGTCTTACTTAGTGGGAAAAAGTTTATTCAGAGTTCATGTTGATATTTTTGTATTTGAGAGGCTGATAAATGACTCTTTGTTTTGTTTTATTTATTTATTTTCTAATGTATTATTCACATTAGTGGTCTGTTGTTCTGTGCCGTAACCTGGTGAACAAGGCGTGTTGATGCCTGAGGGAAGTGACAGCTTCTGCTTTGTGACCCATCTAGTGTGTTTTTGTGTTTGCCAAAGCAAAAAAAGAGCCAAGAAAATAGCTGGGATTGTTAGGAGGCTTTAGAAGTGGGCCAATGAGATGACCCATTTATATCATAACTAAATGAGAGAGGGTGAACATTCACTGTGCATGCTTGTTTCTGTGAGCAACCAAAGCACACACACAGATGCTTGTGTGTGTGTGTGCGTGTGCACGCGTGGACTTGAACACAATTACAACTGAAATGAGTTTGCGGCTGAGAGTAGGAGAAGAGCAAATGGCCCATGTGATTGGGTTAAGGGGAGAGATCTCGTTACAGCGAGGGGTGAGAACAGAAAAACTTGTTAAAGGGAGATTGTTAGCTCAGCTACAGGAGATGTTTTCTGCCCGGTGACAGCTGGAGCAGTCACAGGCCAATCAAAACCAGCGAGAGGGTCCAAAGTTTCCTCACCTAGGCTTTCTTTAATATTGTAGTTCAAATAGCACTAAGCTATTGACATTCACAGAGGAACAAACACGCAAGAGTATTTTTATAGTCCCCCCATAAGCACACACACCGAAACACACACACACAACCACAGAGCCACTGATTTTCTTGTATTTACATGTGCATGCAAATTTTAAACGTCTCTAAGTACCTTTAGTACGTGTGTGTGTGTGTGTGTGTGTGTGTGTGTGTGTGTGTGTGTGTGTGTGTGTGTGTGTGTGTGTGTGTGTGTGTGTGTGTGTGTGTGTGTGTGTGTGTGTGTGCGCCCAGGCGTGTGTGTATTTTGCTTATCTTTCTGCCACACGATATCACAATCAGAACCAGAGCTGCCCAACAACAAGTCCATTTCCACTGGTCCAATTCCACCTGTGGTCTGTCCTCCAGCCAATCACTGGGCAAATATCCTATAAATAACACAGCCACCAGTGCCCCAGTCACACCCAACTACCTGCAGACACACACACAGACACACACACACACACACACACACACACACACACACACACACACACACACACACACACACACACACGCACATGGCCAATGTTTACAGGAGTCGCAACAAATGTGAAACCAAAAATCTATGGAAAACTATGTTCTGCTGACACCTGTTGTTCCACATTGTAAATAACATTTCCTAAAAAATGTGAGCCCATGTCTGTTTGAATTGTCAAATAACCAAAATAAAAAAATTACATATAATATTTTTTATATTCCTGCCTTTCCATGCAGCCCCCCCCCCCTCCCCCCCTCCCCCCCCCCCCCCCCCCCCTTCTGCTTGATATCTGTGACTCCACAGGTTTCTGCTTGAATCTTCACCCTCTAAACAAACTCCAAAGGGGTTTTTATGGTCACATGCACACGTGTTGGGGTGTGCACATGTACTTTATTTTTGTTATGCAGTGGCAGCTGGTTTTGTGTCTGGTTTCTATGGGTGCCCTGTTGCTAGGCAAAGTTAAGCCCCTGGTCAGTGAACCTACCAAGCACCTTCTGTTCAGCAGCTGGCTAGGAGGGAGTCAGCAAGTCACAGACTGAACAATCATGCACACACACACACACACACACATGCACGCTGCATGTGACATGCACAGCAAACATATGCAGTTTCAGCTTGCTTCACACCATTTTGAATAATTTTTGTCGGATACATAATGTTTATAAACTACATATTCAAATCACAAGACATAATAAACCCAGCAAGTTACATAAATGTTCACACACCCAGCTTCCTATAACCCATTAACACACAAATCTCAGCTATCAGCAATAACCCATTCAGACCAATCACCCATTCATTAAGGATTGATTGTTTAACAGTGGTTGGGGGCGGGGGAGCTTCCAGAGTGTGTGATGGGCTTTAGTCATATTCAGGGTTAAACTCAAATCAATACCCTGCCCTGAATGTGTTCATGTTGTCAGTAATGATAACAGACATCCACAAGCAGAGCAGCATTGCATTCCAGTACTTTTTGTTGCAATGTTGTTTGGTTTTGGGTTATTTTTGCACCAAATATGCAAATTATGTTTGTTTTTTCTCGTTTTTGCTGCAACAGAACAGGTGAGGACATAGCAACAGAAGGCAAGCACTTGCGAATGGGCTCGATAACCATGCTGGACCCCCAGGAACGCATGCCCCTGTCGCACCTGCATGGCATTGCCTGCAGCCAGGGCTTCTCTGTGCGTTCCCAGTCCCTTCACTCTGTCGGTGGTGGGAACGGCGGGGGAGGAGGTGGAGATGAGGAAGTGGGAAGTCCAACGTCGAGGAAATTGCCTCCACCCAAACCTAGGAGGGACCCGGCCACCAAGCTTAGCATGTCGTCTGAGGCAGTGGATCACAGCCCCGTGTCCACCTGCCGTGGGGACAGATGTGATGGTGAGTGTTGGTGGCACTTCACACCAAAGTGCTGCAGCTATATTTAGCTGCTGTCTGTTGTCCCTTCATCAGAGTCGTTTCTCCCACACTGGCATGAAATCCAGCTACACCCAGAAAATCTCACTCCAGCCACCATAATGTCAAATTAGGGGTTGCACCTTCTACTTGCAAAGAGTTTTCTTGACAGCATTACAGATAAAAAAAAAAATTAGGTGAAAAAATAAGTATTCAATATTAGCATAAATTAATGCTAAGTCTACAAATATGTATTAAGGTTTCTATGCATCTTAGTCTCAGTCAGAATCTTGAATCAACAAGGAGAGCAGGAGCGGACAAAAGAGAAAACCTTGAGGGTGAAGGATGCTTTGGGTTCATTTGAGTTTATTTGAGCAAGCTTTGCCGCCAATGTGATGTTTAGGGAGTCACCCAGCCTGGCTCAGATTGGTGGGGATGGTTGTGTGAAAACAGATCTTCCTGGGCACCACGGCAACCGTCCCACAGAAACAAGACCCCCTGCAGCCCAGCCAATCACAGCCAGGCTGAGCAGCTCAGACCAAATGGGCTCTAGAATTGCTAACGTCTGAAGCGTGACAACCAATCAGGGAGAGCGTGTGGGGGTGTCCCTGGCTGAGGGGAGGTTTGCATGCTCTGTAGCGGGTGCCTGTGTTGAAAGAGGAGGAGCTTGTCAGAGTAGAATTCATTCAGGAGGAGCGATTGACCTAGATTTATTTTTTTTCCCAAGAGGAGAGCGGTGGGGAGGGTGTTGCGGGTAAACACAGCAGCTATGGGGGGAGGGGGGGGGGGAAGGAAGAGGAAGCAAAAGAGAGAGGAGAAGAGAAAAAAAACATGGGCTGAAGGCTCTTTGAAGGAGTGGATTCATAACTGGCACTGATTTTTATCAGTTTATCTATCCTGCTATGTTGTAATGTAATTTAGAGAGGAGGGAGGAAGAATAAATGCTTTTCTGTGCAGATTGTTGCACGCACACGAACGAATGCAGGCGCAGGCACAAAGGAATGGGTGGAGATTTTAGAAATATGTGTGTTGTATGCGTCAATAACTCCAGTAATCGATGAACAAAACCTTTCTACATTTTATTTTTTGACGGTATCAAGGGGAAAGGATCTCACAAATAATCAGTTTAAATATAGCAGCCATTACATTATCCCACTCCAATACAAAACCAAAGAATCATGTTTGTAAACAAAGAAATATATAATTACAAAACTGCATAAAATTATTTGTGAGGAAAATCTAACATCCACCATCAAAACATTTAAGCTTTAAGAACGGTCTGTCCCAAATTCTCTTCTTCATGAGTGTACAGGCATGTGCATGGTGTGTGCATGCATGGTGGTGAGTCATAGAGTTACTGGAAATATGCATGTCTGGGCCATCTGGCATGTGAATTATTAAAGATGTAAAATCTGCAGTTTGGAAATTTTAAATATGGTTCACTTCTTCACTACGCTCATCTCCTCTTCTCCGAATAAGGAGCTCCTCTTTCCCAAGCCTTCCACTGTCTGACCTGAAAATAGTCTTAGTGTAGATGTGATTTATAGTGAAGTGGCTGAAATCGGTGAGTAGAAACAGAATTGTACAGTAGCATCTAGGAAAATGAATACTGTACCAAAAGGCTCACTGCAGCACATCTAAAGAGATTTACACCACGTCACCACTATCAAAAAGAAGCTCCACAGTGTGTGTGTGTGTGACCCAGATCTGATACTCACATACTGCTTCTCTGCTATACATGTGACCTAGAAACTTGCATATGCATCAACTAGTCCCACTTATCACATGACGCAAGGTGTTGCTCTCAGCAAAATACTGACCTGCGGTCGACCCACAGCAGCAAAAATAGGTGTGACAATTATTTACTTGATCAAAAAAGGTGGAATCACACTTTATTTGTTCTTTTTCTTAGAAACAAGACCTTATTTCTGAACTCAGTCAATGTATACACGTTCAGATTGTATGTCTTTTTATTTCTTTGCAGCTCAAGGATGCAGTGAGGACTGCAGGAGGATGCCACCCCCAAAACCCAAGAGAAACCCCAACACACAGCTGAGCGTTTCATTTGATGAATCCTACATTAAGAGCCATGGAAGCAGTGGGATTTGTCCATCCAAACTCCTACACTACACCACATCCCCTTGTGAACGAAACCCTTCGCCTCCACAAACCAACGACAGTCCCACAGATGACTGTGAAGATGAACCTGTCTACATAGAAATGGGTGGGATTGATATTGGGATGCGAGAACCCTTGAAGGGTGAGGATGAAGAGCCAGGAGAGTCTGTGTATGAGGAGATGAAGTATCCAGCCCTAGATGATATGGAGTACCGCACCGATCCTGTAGGATGTCGCTCAGCATGTCCCACCCCATTGCCCTACGACCCAGAGCCTCTCAGTCGCTGCTCCACACCTAGAAACATTCCCCTTTGTGACATCCCTGCACCATTCCCCAATTTACTCACCCACCGGCCTCCGTTGTTGGTGTTTCCACCAGCACCAGCCCAGTGCTCACCCAACTCAGACGAGTCCCCCCTCACACCATTAGATGTCACTAAATTACCAATGCTAGAGAACCAGCCTCATAGCAAATCCCCCACCTCTTCAACAGAGCCAGCTTCCTCCGCTCACCTCCGCAGGGAGCTCACCGCCACACCGACGCTCACCATCTCTGGACGCTCCTCTGCACCTCCACTCCCCTGTACACTTTACAAATCCTCATCATCATCATCCTCTTATCAGCGTAGCCACTCTGCTTGCCCATCACCGGTGAGCATGGGCCGCTGCCTCACCCCCCTGAGCTTAATGCGCACACCTCCATTTGATGCTCCAATGCCATTCCCTGCGGGACTCCCACGGAGCGCCTCTGCTACCCCTCACGGCAAAGGCTCCCCTCCTCAGGACGGTGCAGCACGACTCCACGGCTCTATGCAGAATGTGTCAACAGGTCGTTCCCGAACACCCACCAGTCCACTAGATGAACTAACAAACCTGTTCACCACAGGCAGGAACATGCTAAAGAAAAACTCAAGTGGCAGAAAGTCCAAAGAACCTGGAGAAAGTAAGAATTTTATTGAATTCATCACAATTCAACAATAACTGCAATGTCTGAAAATTCCATTGGTTTAATCTAGGCCTGCCAAGCCAAGTCGGATACAGATCGTATGATTTAATCTGAGGAGATTAGAGACTAAAGCGGACAGCAGGTCACAAACCTACTCATGGCATTAGGCCATCAGGCGGGATTAGTTTTAAATATGTAAACATCATATTTAAATACAGATATTTATGCCACACTCAAGATTCTGCCAACATCTCTACCGAGGAAAACAACACAGACTCTAATATGCATAAAAATCTAAATCCCGTGCAATTTGTTTTATATGAACCTTTCAGATAAACTTGGTTTATAGACACGACGCATAGGTGAAAGTACTGTTGATGTGCTAACTTAATTATTCTGCATATCCTTAAATCTTAAATTCTCAAAATAAATTCATAATTTTGTGAATGACAGTTAATTTTAACTGGGTCAGTAAGACATTTTTGAGACGCGTCTATCAAATTCTCGTGGGCTTTGACCTTCAGGTAAACTGGAGCAGACCTGCAGCAGCAGTATTGCATCTTTTTCCAAACCTTTAAGATGCTTTACAAAAATTCACATAACATCTTTGATCAAATGCTCCGAAACTGGATTTCAAAATGCATTTTTTAAACATAAATAATAATGAACCGTTCAGACTCTACTCATCCATCCTCTCTCATGGCTCGTAGCAACTAGAACATAGCAACAGAGGAAGGAGGAAAAAAATCCCTGTTTCTTATTTGCAGATTTCCTCCCTGTGGGTAATGCAGCCAATCACAGCTCAGGGCATGCTAGTCTACAGAGGAGCACTGAGCGGCTGACGGGGATAGCAGAGCATCTGAACTAAAATCTGTTTTGTCCAATCAGCACATACTTGCCACATGATGAAGCCAATCAGGCAGCGGGTGCAGCTGTGCAGATGGGAGGAGTGCAAACTGAGAATGTTAGATTTATTTTCATTTGGAATGCAGTTGAATTGACTACCATGGATGTTTAATTACACAAATGGATGTTTATTTGATCCTGAGAGTTATATGCATTTAAGAAACTATATTAAATACTGGAAAATAGGTATTCTCGTTAAGATGCTTCATTTAGATGCCAGGAAGTCCAGGTGATAATTAACAAATTGGCCATTTGATTGTGACTTATTATCCAGACCCACATGGGTTATAAACAGTTTCCACATCTTGTATGTACATTATCCTGGCTGACAGGCTTTTTACATTATTAATGTCTGAACATAACACATGCGTGCAAACACAGATAAGGTACAAAACAGGCAGCAATGGCTCGTAAACGTTGTTTTTCTCATCTTACTGTTACTAGATTGTACTGTAAGCATAGATGTTGCAAAATAGAGGTTATTTTCTCTATGAACCTGAGGCAATTGAAGGAACAAAAGCTTTCCTGACCCAGATACCAATTTGTTAATCACCACATTCAATTTTGTTCACACCATGGTTCACACACATGAACATACTGTGTTTTGCAAGTTAGCATCCAGTTGCATTAAAATGTTTTGCCTAAGCACGCCACTGGACGGTCAGGCTTTGTTTACCTGAACCTAAGCACAGATGCAACATGCAGATCGTTCGATATATTACCAGTTATGTTTTTTTTTCTTTCTGTCATGATTTAATTGATGTAATTATATTTTAAATAGAGTAGTGAAACGAACATAGTGAAAATAGATTCAAAATTGTTTATGTAACAATAAATGTTTTGCAGGGAACTATTGCATGTATATTATTGTCCCTGTGGTCCCATAATATTTATGCTGACTTGAAAGCTTCATCACTTCTTCTAAAACTAGCAATGACTGACACCTAGAGGTCTTTAGGGGGCATTGCAGAAACACTGTTCATCACTAAATTTACAAGTACAGGTACAACTCTAAAAATCAGAAAGTCATGCAAAAGTTTCTTTATTTCTATATTTCGTCTTTGACTGTGAGACCATCTAAAGGCTCAGAAACCATTTGCAGGAGTTTGGGATGTATTAGTTGGTTAGAGTGGGGCACTTTGAGCCAAGAACATTGAACCTTTTCACAATATTTCAACTGTCTGAAATTTTGCATTTGGGGTTGTCATAAGCTGTAAGCCATAATCATCACAGTTATACCAAATAAAGGCAGGAAGTATCTGGCTTTGCATGTAATGAGTCTATCTTATAGATTAGTTTTACCATTAAACTTGAATTACTGATATCAATGAACTTCTGCATGATAATATTTCAGTTTTTACGCATAATGATCATTTCAATTTTTTACTTCTAAAGGTATAACCCCACAATTGCCATCTAGATGGCAATCCATCAGCCGCAATCAGCAATCATCTCTTTTTTTCTTTTTCTTTCTTTTGCAGCTGAGTGCAAAGTGAAATCTCACAGTGAGTCCAAACGAGAAGGTAAGGAACGGCACAGTCATAGCAAGGAGTCCAAACGAGATTCCAAGGAGCGCCACAGCAAAGAATCTTCTCATCGCAGAGAAAGAGACAAAGATAAAGACAAAGACAGAGGCAGTAGCAATGTAGAGCCTCTGCCTCATAGACGCAACAGCAAAGACCGCAATTGTAGCAGTGTAGATACACCACTCGTTCGCCGGGATAGCAAGGACCAGGCCTGCAGTGGTCTAGAACCCGTCTCTGTGAGACGGGACTCCAAAGACAGGGGCTCTGGCTCTTCAGACCTACCTTTGATAAGAAAAGACTCCAAGGATAGAGGAGTTAGTACTGGTGATCTGATGCCAAGGAGAGACAGCAAAGATCGAATTGCAGGACATGGATTAGAGTCTTCAGTAAGACCGGACAGCAAAGACAGAGACAGACTGCTGGATCAACCACCTGAACTGTTTCCAAGACAAGACAGCAGGGAGAGGGTAAGAAATGGTGTAGACTACAAACAGGAAAGCAGAGAGAGACTGCTAGACCATCCTCCTGAGCTCTTACCACGACAGGATAGCAAAGAGAGGGCCAGAAATGGGACAGACTCAAAGCTTGAAAGCAGAGACAGAGCAACAGATCTTCTCACTCGACAAGAGAGCAAAGACAGACCTAGAAATGCACCAGAATACAGACATGACAGCAAAGACAATCGTCCTGAAATGTCACCTCATCAGGAAAAAAAAGAGAGAGAAAGGAGTGACACTGAACATAGACATGAAGGAAGAATAGATCAACCACCTGAGATCCTGCCTCGACAGCAAACATCCAGGAACAAGGACAGGCTTGAGCTGAAACATGAAGGAAGAGATCAGAGCTGTCTGAATGGAGATTTTCCTCCGCTTATTTTACCCCGGCAAGAGAGCAAGGATCTGAGCAGAACTGGCCTTGAAGTGAGACGGGATAGCAAAGACAGAAGTGTCAATGGCTCGGATGTCAAGTGCACCAAGAGCCCTTCTGCAATGGAGCACAGGAGTGAAAAGGAACGAGCGCACAGGTCAGATGGCACACCACGAAGGGACAGAAGAGAAAACGGCAACACGGACCAATCAAAAGCACAAGAGAGGAATAGTAGCACAATGTCAGGCCAGCATTCAACCACAACTACACCTACTCATCATGGAAAACCATCGGGAAGCCCACCAATTACCACTGGAACTGGAAATGGTTAGTTTTCCACCCCAGCGTTGAATGCAGTAGGGTTGTTGTGTGCTTCAGTAAATATTATATAAAATCCTTGTATGATTTTTTTGTTTGTTTTCAGATGTTAAAACACCACCAAAATATAGTCGCTCAACTTCAATGCCTACGAATCCTTCTCCAATAGGGACTCCACAGAGGAGGGCAGCAGAGGCACACCAAAGTCAGGTATGCAGAGTGGGTTGGTGCTGTCTTTTTGAACTATCGTTTCCGTTTGTCCTGCATTAGAAATGATCACATGTTAAAATATCCATTCAAATTCACCATTCGAAGAATCTGAGACCAAGATGTTTATTCCTGACACAAGTTTGGTTTTTGAGATGTGCAAGTAAAATGTGAGCAGTCAAATGATAAGCAAGCAAATATTTTCCTTAAATGTTTTTTTTTGTTTGAATGTTAAAGTGACAATATATATAGTTTGTACCATTAATCTCTGGAAATATCCATTGAAATGTTGTATATGAATTAAAAGATACCCAGTTGTTGAAAAATATTGGTGGTTTCATAACGTATAACCATCAAAATGGGGTCTGAAATGCGTGGGAGTGGGTCTAAGTCTCTGGGCAACGCCATATTGGACACCATGTTTACTTCTACGGAAGCCCATGAGGACAGAATGCATTTACTCATTTGTAGCAAATGGTTACAAAACTTTCAACATTACTAAACGTTCTTTTACACATTAACCTCTTTACTCATTGCAAGTGTAGTAGTGGAACACATTTGTTAATTACGACCAATAAGATGTGATGATTCCATACGAATTTGAAAGATCTATCTGAATGATCTTTGAATGTTTAATCAGAAGATTCTAGGGTTCTTTGCTTCTTCAGGGACCATAAACACACTTCGTATTAATTCAGACTGAGTCAGTATATAGTTTATAAAATGAATTTAATTATTTTCCTAAACTAACAGTTTCTACATGACAAGATATGAATAATGAGATGTGGTGTGATGGATCTGGAGTGATTTAATGTGATGTGTGAAATGTAATGGAAGCTAGAAGTTGTAGCAACCATTCTTTGTATTTGAGAGAAATTGTGAAATCTGGGTGTAAAATTATTTGTTGTTTGATATTAAACTAGAGAATTGTTTATTGATTAAAACCTCATTAGACGTCAGTATGCAGGCTTACGATACCCTGGTATGAGTTGCTCCCGGTTGACAGAGTGGTGAGGTCACCGGACGTCGAAACCACAACACTCAGAGATTAGTAGCTTCCTCTGAGTTCAGCTTCCCCTGCCATGAGATGCAACCCAGGGTCTGCAGATTAGGTGTCCAAGGTGGATATCTGAGAGTTGAAGTAGCTCTGAAAAGAGCTGTTGTGTCTGTAATCACTTGCGGCGTCGCAGAAAGGTTTTGACTTAAGGTCAAAGGAGATGGTTTCAAAAGATGCTTCTTTCCTGATTTGGCCGAATCGGGGATCAGCTAGAAACTGAATTAATCGGGAAGTAAATCCTGCTTTAATAAATTCATTATTTATCATTTCTGGCGTATTCTGGCAAATGAGAATGTGCCATGTCTGGAAGGCTTTACCAAAACGTTCCTGAGAAAGCCACACCTTCCTTCAGATACAAAGATGTTTTTAACACTGTGAATGAGAATGTCTTAAAACTCCTCTGTATCTTATTGTAATGTGAAAGAGTGTAAACAATGATTAACATGTTAAATCAAACGCGTACTGATCATAAGATCTGAAATGGGTCATTGTAAGAGCAATATTCATTTTAAAGCCATCATTGCTTTGAGCACAGATTATTCAAACATTTCATTTAAACATCTTGTTTATTAATCGCATTTGATTATTTAACTTATAACTAAAATCCTGTAGGATCTTCCAGTAGCTAGTGAAGAATTCAGCAGTCTGGCCCATGCGTCAGACCTTGGGACAGATTGTTTATATCTGCGTGGAGGAACAATAAGTGGGCACAGGTTGATGTGTGCGTCTGGATCCTTCAGCTGGTGCAGCCTTGACTTTGCAGTTTCTGGCATGTATGAAAGGTTATGCTGTGTCAATTAGGTGGTGAAAAATTCATCCTTTTGGACGTTACACAAGTTCTGATGTTCATCCTTTTGGACATTACACAAGTTCTGATGTTCTTGTTGTTTTTCTGGAGGTTGCACTCCTACGATTTTTGACCCTAATGGCCATCTGTTGGTAAGGTCTTACTTGAACACAAAAATAATGCATGCATGCAATGATTTATGTATGTGCCTGGTATAACGGTACGTTAAAATTGTATTCGGTTTGGTTCAGTGTTTTGAAGAGCTCTGTTCAATAAATTTTTGGTATATTATTATTATTATTATTATTATTATTATTATTATTATATTTATTTTTTTCTTTAATATCTAAAGCAGCTCCTATAGTGAGCAGCAGAACCAGGTGTCATCATAGGCTGCTGATCTAGCATGATGTATTTAATTATTTCACAGGTTATTTGCACGGCTATGAGTGTCACGTTCAGACAGACAAGTGTTGCGCTGAGCCTTAAAAACTCTCCTCAAACTGCCCAGAGTTTCTTCTTCAAAACTCTAATTAAATAATTAGCTTGCTCTGCGCCGTATTTTTTCGTTGTAGAATGAAGACTTTACATCAGTTGTCCCTGTGGAAAAGTTCAGCAGACGTGTTTGTTTACATTTTTGCCGCTGCATGTCTGCACAGTGTGAAAGGGAGGGAGGGGCGACACGACGTTCAGCGTCTACAGCGTCTACAGGCTCCACAGTCGCAGTTGACAGCCAGCTGGTTTGATCCGCAATGAAACGCATTGATTAGAATTTGCAGATCACATTTTATAAATAGAGATTGGGCACGTGCAGCCATCATGTGTCACTTAATACAGCGACCGTGCAGAAACTCGCCTAGGAACATTATCTGCTGCACTTAAATCATGCAAATAAAATGTATTATTTAACAAAAAAATAATAAACAGAAATGTTACGCAAGTGGACCGAACCGAACAGGCTTAGCCGAAATGGTTCAACACTCCCCATGAACTGTTACACCCCTAGAAATGACTGCCCCCCATCGCCAGCGAAAATACACACTGTCACTTTAATTGACTCTGGTGTGTTACTGTAAACACTGACACCTACTGGCAGAGAATGGGATGACTACTAGAATCCAGTCAAATCCCAAAGAATAACGAACATTTCATGAATGATTTATTTGGTGTTTAAAAAGATTATAAATTATTCTGAATGGAGTGTTCTTCTTTTTCAACTGATCCATTTACTTTGTGCCTCAGATGTTCCAGATGCCATGGGTCTGTGGAGACACCACCATGCTTGAACAAATAGAGAGAAAACGTACCCTGTGCATGCAGATCCGCTCCAGACAGCATCCACAACTGCAGAGATATCTGGAGAAACCTCCCCCTCAAGATAGAACCGAGGACAAGCAGCCGGAGCTAAGTCAGTGCAAACAGGAAAGTGCAAATGTGCTCCCAGGATCGGGAAAGAGCAGTGGGACCAAAAAGATTCGCCCTCCCCCGTATCCCACACAAACAACCGTATTCTGGGACACAGCCATCTAACATTCCTAATAAACCTAAACCTCCATGCCACATACCCCTCAGATACCCACTCCCTCTCTCACTGCCTGGTTGTACGGAATCTCCGCTTTGCAGCGACAGTTTCGGGCCAACTACAAAGAGCACCAGAGGGATGATTGCTGATGTCAAAGAAAAAAACAACAACAACAACAAAAAAAAAAAAAACTACGGTGGTTACCACAGCAATATTTCTGCTTGTTCAGGTTGTCACGTTTTCTTATCATCACTGGTGATATTTGATATTTTTCTATTTCATGTGACTGGACTCTTGTATTAAAATAGTAGAGTAGATATTCAACGATGAATAGATATTTTCTAAATAAGAAGATGGGGAACAAAACGCAGCTTAAATTATGTATAGTAGAGGTACTGTAGATGCAATCTAATTTTTGTTTAATGTTACTTTCTTTTAGGTTATTTTACATTTGAAAGCATATTCTATCAATACTTGTACTGTAGTAGCATAATGTTCTTATGCCCAACTCTTTTTTTGTGTGTGTGTTCATAAGCACTCTTATGAATGAACTGCTGAGTTCTGTTACTATATACTTTACAAGTTCACAGTTGTATTGTAAGTAGAGGAGTGAACATCAGCGTGCGTTAGCTGCCAGGCCTCTCTGTCTGGTCACGGATGTTCTAGAATGTACAACAGTGGGTCCTAGAACAGAAACGGGAAATATGTTGTTGTTCGGTTTATGTATTACAGTGGGAAGCAGTGAGGTCAGTAACTCAAACCCTGTTGAAGCTGTTTTATTGGAAAGTCTGTTAGCTGGCTTCCTGTTGAGGTGAGAACACGTGTCAAACGCTTCTGCTGTAGTCCTAGATAAATCATGAGAGTGGATTGGGTAAGGTAGTAAATAAGAGCATACATTATTATTGAATAGTTTACTTTTGACTACCAGCCAAAGCCTGCAAAAGCAAGATACGGGTTGGGAGGCTGGTCATTTAAAATAGGATAGCTGGCAGCAGCTGGTGAGTACCAGCACCCTTGCATTGCCATGCACTGCATGCATCATGACAGTGTAAACACTCGACGCCAGCGCTCAGCCCGTACAATCAACACCTAAGCTTTTAGATTCCTTAATTTTACTGCAGAATATAATAGCCATATGCACTTGCTTAAGAAATAACGTTCAATGTTATGCTTATATATTTTTTGAAAATGTTAAGAGTAATGAGTTGTGCCATGTATCTTTTAATTTATTGGCTAGAAGGCAAAGCCTCAGGAGAGTGACTGTGTGTGACATGCAGTCATAAATGTTTGGTTGTCTTTGACAATGTTCCCAGTTTAGAAATTGGCTAGCAAACATTCTAGAGATCAAATCTTTTTTAAAGGACCTATCGTAAGACAATACCGCTCTCTGAGAAAAGACAGGACAGAGGTTACACAATGGCCTACAAATCATAACGGCTCAATTGAGTAAAAAAATAAAAGAATAGCTGCACTAACCCTCGTTTTCTAACACACTGATTCAGGCTTACGGTTTCCTTCTCCCCTCCTTGGCCTCACCCTCTACCTCAACTGCCCTTATTACATCTTCTCAATTGGTCCTCTTTTGCACATAAAATGCAATGTCAGCATTGCCAAAATAGTGTGAATTTGACACGAGCTAGTCCTGAGAGTGCAGTAGCCCACCTCTCTGGTGAGCATCAGTGATACAGAGATCCCTTTGTGTTGTGTGTGTGTGTGTGCGTGTGTGTGTGTGTGTGTGTGTGTGTGTGTGTGTGTGTGTGTGTGTGTGTGTGTGTGTGTGCGTGTGCGTGTGCGTGTGTGTGAGTGTGTGAGTGTGTGAGTGTGTGCCAAGCTACACTGTATGTGTGTGTGTGTGTGTGTGTGTGTGCCAAGCTACACTGTATGCAAGTCGCAACTTTGAAATGATTGTTTTTTTAAGACATTCACTTTGCGCCGTCATATTGGATGGAGGTCGGAAATGTAATAACGATGATGTACAATCTTTCTGTGTGTATAAACGTGCACTGTGAAAAGGTAGAGAGAGCACCACACTGTCAGTCCTCTGTCGTATTGCACTGAGTGTTCTCGTTTTGCGTTACGAAAAAAGAAAAGGAAAAAACATATTTGAGGTAAAAAAAAAAGACGTACTGTATTCTGATTGTCACTTGGGTTCTGTTGAGAGAAATGAATAAATATGAACTCAAAACTTGCTATGGAAAAACTGTATCCTGTTGAAATGATTTATTTCCCCTAGCTTTGGATGTTTGCATGCAGGTTGGGGTTTAAAGTCTCCAGCCAGTTGAACACTGATTGTGTGGTAGTATTTAACAATTTAAACGAGGAGAAATCCCCCCAAAAATTCTTTTAATTTTGAACATTCTTCTTTCAAAGGAGCACGGGGCCAAAATCTAAGCAAAAAGGAGGTATGCATGGTCTTTTTGTTGAAAGCTAATGGGTGATGAAGCATTATAAAATGAGGCCACCCATGTGTCGTTCCATTTTCTTTAACAGGCTGTGTGCTGCTAAATGCACTGCAGTTCACTACTGGCTTTCCTGCTTTGTCCTACGGATGCGACTTCAATTGGCAACTAGAAGAAAATGTATGTGGTTGATTCACTCCAGATCGGGAGGTGGCGATAATGCATCTTAATGTTTCTTGCCAACTGCCATTAAACCCCCAAGTAAAAGAAGTGCTGTGGGAAGAAGCCTGTTTTGTGCCCAGCCTGCCGATTCCAATGAAGAAGAACTGTGGGAATGGTGTCTACCGCAAGCGGTAAACAACCAAGCGCTACTCAAATCCCATCAGTGGCATCTCGAGAGTCAAAAACCAAACTTGATAAAAGTCGGGCGGGGAGCCTAATATACAGAATATCAGATATGCGACTGATGAACGGGGGCTGCTTCAACTTGAGCTGGGACTGAAAAGAGGATGCTGATATACTCATTTCCTTGTGACCAGGTAAGAAACATTATAAGTTGTGTTTAGAGCTTGATATGACCTCACTGATGACTCGGAGAGAGTTAGCATGCAGTAGCATTAGCTGTGATCGTGCTACAGCTGCTGTTACCGCTGAATATTTAGAGACCAGACATTTTCCAAACCGAACACCAGAGTCCTTTTAATGATGTCACATTTGATCTACAGCCCATCCTGTAAGCAGGACTAATACCTTAGTAGGTAATGGTATTTTTTGTGTTTGTGTAACAAGTTTGTGTGTGCTCCCATGCCAGCTGCAGTTATTCATATGGCCGGGCATTTTGCCCCATGCTCCTTTAAATCAACCACTCTGAAAACAAGATCAGCTTACAAAAATCAGAAAACAATTACCGTGTTGACCCGGATATAAGACAAGGTTTTTTTTCATTGAAAATTATTTTAAAATGTGGGGTTGTCTTATTGACCCTTTGCACGTGGCGTCACGCCACTCTTCATTTTGCTCAATAAAAATTGTCAATTTAAAAAGTGATTTTTTTTTTTTTTTTTTTGTCTTTTCCTGAAGATTAGTCTTGGAAAGGGGGTTCGCCTTACAATTGGGGTCGTCCTATATCCGGGTCATTACGATATTTACCCAACAGCTTTTCCAGTCCGTGCAGTTCTTTTGATAATTATGAGAATTAGTCCAGAAAAATCACACATGTTTATCCCTCAGAATCTTTAACCCTTTAAGACCTGCCATAGAACAAGTTCGCCAGAACTTACATTTACATTTTTACATGCTGTGGTGCCATTTTTTGGAATATTTCAAATTTCAATACATCAATACAACCCTTACATTCTAAATTTTAATTATATAAATGTAAAATGTTCATAGCCACAAAATATTTTACTAAAAAGTGTTATTATCTATACAGAAATTGAAATTTGTTTTTTGTTTTTACACATATTTTTCATTATACAGAAATGCCACAGCTTTATCCCTCAAAATTGTCAATGGAAAAAAGTTTCACACAATCCTTTCAACCACAAATTTATTTGAAGTGCCTCCATAAAATAGATTCTGAGACACACTCATTTATATAAACTGAAACAATCTCTGAAAATAATCTGCCGGAGTCTAACATAATAATATTGAATATTCGTAGCTAAATTTTGTAGTAGTGTATAGTTTTCCTTTTCTCTCACTAATAGTAATAACAATAATGAAGAATTGTGCATGGATATATACGCGAGGAAACTGAAAGTGAAACTTAAACATCCTCCGGCGCTGTAATGGCGTCAACTGCTTCAAGGAGGGAAGATGTACCGTTTGGTGGGTCCGTGATTCATCAAAACGTTCGTAGTGGTGTGTGTGTGTGTGTGTGTGTGTGTGTGTGTGTGTGTGTGTGTGTGTGTGTGTGTGTGTGTGTGTGTGTGTGTGTGTGTGTGTGTGTGTGTGTGTGTGTGTGTGTGTGTGTGTGTGTGTGTGTGTCGGGAGTTTGTAGTGGGTGTGTGATGTGTGTAGGATGTGTTTGTCTAAACGTATTATTGCGAAAAAGCACAAGAACAAGCTGAAAGACTAGGACTACAAAGAACTACAATTCACGGGAAAATGACATCAAAGCAGGTGATTGGGTGAGTGAGGGAATCATGTGACAGTTCACGTTGACACTGTGATGATGTTTATTCTAGCGTGTGAAGCCCTGTGAGCTGCAGATCTGAACAACACAGCGTCTGTGTCTGAGTGAAAACGCTTTTCTTATTTGCGCATTTTGGTTGTTTGTTGCAAACTCATTAGCGGAAATATGCAGCGCTCTTGGACATGTTCAGTGTGTGAGATATAAGTGTAACTCCTCCGGTTTAATATGCAAAAAATGTTTGTTCTGTCTTATATAGTTTCAGTTCTACAAGCATTTGAGCACAGATATGCAAATGGCAGCACTGACGCTCCCGCCGGTCTTAAAGGGTTAAACACCATCTTTAAACCTGATTCATGGAACATTTCAACCTTTTCTTCAAATGAATGCAGGTAGAGCTGACGTTATTGTTCTCTGAGGCAGACGTTACAGCGGCTGGCCTTGCGTCGCTGCTCATCAGCTGCTTTGATTATGCCAGGCTTTGCATGAATAAAGTCTCCCATCTCACTCACGGTGGTCAGCCAGAAACTGTACAGGTTTGCAAAGTAGTGGCAGGAGCCTCTTGCGCCTTGACACTCAATAAATGGGTGAGTTCTAAAATCCTTAAGGCAGCTTCCCGAAGAAGTCAATGACTGTCCACCACCCTCGTCGCCTGCCCCTGTGTGCTGAAGAGAGTAAAGCAGCAGACATTCAATGATAGAGCTTGTTTTATACAGCTGTTACAAATACAACAAAGTTTGAAATCTAACTCACCAAGAGAAAAGAGTAACCTGTCCACAAACTCCTCCAGCCGGGTGGGCATGAAGGAACCACTTGAGCCTGACTGTGAAATGCCACTGCTGGAAAAACCATCTCACACACTGCACACCGGCTTATATGGAAGCTTATTTCTGCGCCAAAGAGTGGCATCATGGGTATGGGAGCCGTGGTGGAGAGCCAGTAGGATTTGTCATTGCGACTAGAGTAGTAGCAGGCAGCTTTGTCACAATAGGAGAATGGCATGGTGGAGAAAACCGAAAGGCAAGAGCCAGGCTGACCTGGAAGGAGAAAATGTAAAAGTCTGAATTGAGCTAACTTTAAAATGGCAACAAGATGGTTGTGTTCATGGACGTACACACACTTTTTCCGAAGTCAATTTTTGTCCCCTGCACTTTTCACTGTCCAAAAACAATATTATGCTATATTAAATAGACACTGGTTGAGCACTAGGACCAAGCGGAAAACAACCACTTGTATTGAAGCCTGTTTCCCATTAGAACTATCCGTAATCTCATTTACTGGCTCTGCTGATACTTGCTAATGTGTGATTGGCCATTCCTGCCACCTGTGCATCTGACAGTTCTGCATTCCTGACATTGCATAAAAGACCCTCTAGGCTGTAGTTTTATACTTTTTTTTTTGTATACTTACTGTAAAGATCCACACCCCTGCTGGTTGTGCCCCCCCCCCCCCCCCCCCCCCCCACACACACACACACACACACACACACACACCACACACACCACACACACACACACACACACACACACACACACACACACACACACACACACACACTTCTAAAGTCAAAACTACATCCATGGTTGTGTTAGATATGGACTTACCCAGATCTTGTGTGTGAGCCTTTTCCTGGCCTTCTAGGTAAAGAAGACTGTATCCCACCCAAAGGCGGGTGCTGCCAGCAGGGCACTCGGGAGTCTGGACTGACTGGCTGTGGATAACCAAAAGAAAAGTCGACCTTCGTGACCTTCTGTAGCCTGGCTCACCTTGATCACCAGGAGGTCCAGGGGTACCTAAAATGAAACAATTTGAATGAAGACAAAAGGGGTAAAAGCAAGTCATGAAATTCATGTTGGCAATCTGCAACATAACAGAGATTATTTAGGGTTATCTTTCTGTAAATTAAAATGGTTTTATTCCTGGGTCTGGCCGTTCACCTTGAGGCCCAGTGAATCCTGGCACCCCAATGTTTCCTGGGTCTCCAACCAGACCATTTAAACCAGGAGGACCTGGTTGGCCTGGAAGGCCCATGAATCCTTTAGGACCTTTGCCTCCTGAAAGAGAAAACCAACAAAGAAGATAATAAATAAATATGAAGTAACATAGTGAAGGGCCATATAACAATATTGAAAATGAGATAGAAACGACTGAAACAGATGTTTCCTAAAGACCACAAAAAAAGAAGAATGCAAACGTGTTGTTACCCTTCCATCCTGGGGGCCCAGGTGGGCCCACTTCACCAGCAACCCCTGCAGGTCCCAGGGCTCCTTGTGGTCCTGGGAGTCCTTGTGGTGCCTTTTCTGTTTTGTCATCTATTAAGTCCCCAGGTTTTCCTTTAACACCTGGAAAATATCACAGTGTGACTTCCATAAGTATATATTCTCAGGTGACCTTTTTTTTCTTTCACTCACTTTTGATTACAGGTTCCTGTTTCTCTGCAGTGCCACCCACCTGTTTCTCCAGTAGGCCCTCTATCTCCCTTATGACCTGGGGGCCCAGGTACACCACGTTGACCTTTGTGACCTGAGGGGCCCCTTGGACCAGGAGGTCCTTGTTCCCCTGAAATAGTATGTTTACATTTGGTTCACTTGAATGACTAATAAAGAAAAAAAAAGGATGGTTTCAGATATATAATTTGAAATACCCTTTGGTCCTAGGCGGCCATAATGGTTAGGAGGTCCAGGAGGTCCTGGAAGGCCTTTATCTCCCTTACATCCTGGTAATCCAGGAGGACCAACTGGTCCTGGGTCACCTTTAGAAAAATAATTGGTACCTGGGACCCCAGGAGCTCCTGGAGGACCTGAAAAATCAATTCCAAATCAAATATGTTGAAATAAACATACAGTGGCAAATGTACAGAAATGTGCACCCTTTTAAATAATTCACTGAATTGGTTTAAAAAGAATAAAAAGTTGAAGCAAGTATACCAGGGGGTCCCGGAGGTCCTTCATAGCCCCTGTCTCCCGGGGATCCATGCAAAGGTGTTTGGCATGATGTTCCAGGATAACCAGGTTCACCTGGCAGGCCTGGAAGACCTTCAGGAAGAAAACAAAACCACACTCAGTCCACACTATTGTCTGGGAGAGACCATACCATAGCAGAGAGTGTGGATGGTTAGTGTTATAGAATATAGTTGAAACTCAAAAAATATCGTGAATATCGTGCAAAAGTCCTTTTTTTTCAGTAAGTCAACTAAAAAGGTGAAACTAATGTAAGCTAAACTATTTAAGTCTTTGTTCTAATGATGATGATAATGGTTTACAGCTTATGAGAACCCAAAATTCTAAATCTCAGACAATTAGAATATTGTAAAGAAAAGTTAGATATTCTAAATGTCACACTCTAATTAATCCAAAACTCCTGCGGATGGTTCCTAAGCCTTTAGATGGTCTCTCGGTCTAAGCTGAATTACTGAAATAAATGAACTTTTGCTCCTTGTTCAAATTTTTCATGTTTCACTTGCAAGTTGAAATTTGCGATTTCAACCTGCAATTTCACAAGTGTAGCGTGATGAAGGCTCTCTGATTTGTACCAAAGGTCACATTATCCCAGCTGGGTCAAGCTGGGTCAAACAGTACTTTTTGAATCCACAGATTAACCCAAGGAGCCACAATGTCTTCTCAAGATCATAACATCATATCTGCTGTTCTGTCCCAAGAAGGACACTTCAAGCCACGATGATAACAATTAGATAATAATTAATAAACTCATTGATTTTATTACTGTTTAATATAATCATCATAACATGATCACTTGGCTCATTATAAAGGTATTTTAATTACATGAAATGGATTATTATGCTTTGGATATAATAATGATAATTATTATAATGATTAAAGATGTGTTTAGCAACAAGGTCAAGTCACCCTATCCAGCTAACACAGAGTTCAGATAAACAATAACTGCATCACATGTTTTTGACGCATGTTCAAGCTTTCTTCTGGAGATGGTGGGAGTGGTTCTGAGAGCTTTGGTCAAACTAACCATCACAGATTCACGTTCAGTTCTGAAACCAAGCATCATCCTGAGGAGCCAGGGACGGCCGCCCTGACCCTCTGCCAAGCTGTTCTGTCACGCCGACAAGAATAGCCAAAGAATAAACGGAACCGTAAACCAGCTCACGAAGACTCTACCAGAGTAATTGATTTCTAAAGTTAAGTTAAAGACGAGAACGTTCATCTGCCAAACGCTTCATACACCGAGTGACCCAAGAAGACCTCCCAGGACCGATCTGGTCGTGCTAGAGGTTTTTCTACCAACCTCGTGCCTGGAGGAAACCCATCTCCACCTGGACACTTCGGATCCAAACGGGGGTCTTCTGATTGGGTGAGGTAGACCCCGACAGAATGCGTTTGATGCTGTTTCTCTCAAAATATCTCAGTTATCCGCAAAACATCATTTTCACCCAGAACGCTTTCATTCTCTGAAAGAAACCTTCTGAGAACTTCATTCACACATCCAAAACTCATCATTCTCATTTTAGCTCCATTCAGTCACAGGATTACTTTTAAACAAGTAATATCAAAACTGTTAAAGATTGTCATTAAAGTTGCCATCCATGAATTGTCATTTTAAAATTGTCGTTTCAAATCCTTATTTTAAAACTGTTAGTAATAACATTTCTTCATTTTTAAAGTTGCCTCATTATTAAACGAAACACAGAAAAGGGTTGCATTTCCATTTATCGAATGAAAAGAATCTTACTAAATCCTCTGTTTAATAAATAAACTTTTGCTATTAATTTAAGTATCTTAAATTAAGTATTAATCCGTAGATTAATAATAGCCCAAGCTTGTTGGTGTATGATCTTCTATCGCATATATTAATATTTTATATTGATATATGATAGAAGCTTCATATATTAACTAGTTTGTGTCATCCTAGTTCTAGCATTGAATAGCACAGTGTTAGAGCTGTGTGTGTGAGGTTTTCACCCCGGTACACAAGAGACAAAAAATACTAATTATGTTACAAAACATCAAATGTTAAACAAAAACATTTGTTCAGTCATTTTTCAAGTAAAAATCTGGTGATACCTGAGTTTCCTGGTGGCCCCCTTTCACCCTTAGGCCCAGGATATGTGGCTCCTGGAGGCCCTGGGAAGCCCCTGACACCTTTTTCTCCAGGAGGACCATTTGGCCCAGGTGGACCAGGAATATCAGTTCCTTGATTAGAAGTGAGGGTGTGAGTGAGAGTGTGCTCACAGTGACATGAATAATGCTTATTAATAATGACTTTACCCACTAGAAGTTTTAAATTTCAATTAACAGATTCAGCCGTCAGGCTGAAGAAGGAGGCCTACAGGGCGTGGCTGGTCTGTGGGTCTCCGGAGGCAGCAGACAGGTACCGGATAGCCAAGCGGGGTGCAACAGTGGCAGTTGCCGAGGCAAAATCTCGGGCATGGGAGGAGTTTGGTGAGGCCTTGGAGAAAGACTATCGATCGGCTCCGAAGAGGTTCTGGCAAACTGTCCGGCGCCTCAGGAGAGGAAGGCAGCAACTCGCTCACACTGTTTACAGTGGGGATGGGGAGCTGCTGACGTCAACTGAGGCTATAGTCGGACGGTGGAAGGAATACTTTGAGGAGCTCCTCAATCCCACCAATGCGCATTCCGAGGAGGAACCAGAGCTGGGAGGCCTGGGGATGGACTGTCCGATCTCGGGGGCAGAAGTTGCTGAGGTAGTCAAACAACTACACAGCGGCGGAGCCCCGGGGGCGGATGAGGTTCGTCCTGGGTATCTCAAGGCTATGGATGTTGTAGGGCTGTCATGGTTGACACGTCTCTACAACATTGCGTGGTCATCGGGGGCAGTTCCTAGGGAGTGGCAGACCGGGGTGGTGGTCCCCATCTTTAAGAAGGGTGACCTGAGGGTGTGTTCCAACTATAGGGGGATCACACTCCTCAGCCTCCCTGGAAAGGTCTACTCCAAGGTACTGGAGAGGAGGGTCCGATCGATAGTTGAATCTCAGATAGAGGAGGAGCAATGTGGTTTTCGTCCTGGCCGTGGAACTGTGGACCAGCTCTATACCCGTGCAAGGGTGATGGAGGGGGCATGGGAGTTTGCCCAACCAATCCACATGTGCTTTGTGGATTTGGAGAAGGCTTATGACCGTGTCCCCAGGGGCACCCTGTGGGGGACGCTCCAGGAGTATGGGGTGGGTGGCTTTCTGTTAAGGGCCATTCAGTCCCTTTACCAGAGGAGCGTGAGTTTGGTCCGCATAGCCGGTAGTAAGTCGGACCTGTTCCCAGTGAGGGTTGGACTCCGCCAGGGCTGCCCTTTGTCACCGGTTCTGTTCATCACTTTTATGGACAGAATTTCTAGACGCAGCCGTGGTGTGGAGTGTGTCGAGTTTGGTGGCAGGAGAATCTCGTCTCTGCTTTTTGCGGATGATGTGGTCCTCCTAGCTTCATCCAGCTCTGACCTTCAGCTCTTGCTGGGTAGGTTCGCAGCCGAATGTGAAGCGGCTGGGATGAGGATCAGCACCTCCAAATCTGAGACCATGGTTCTCGACCGGAAAAGGGTGGCTTGCCACCTCCGGGTCGGGGGAGAGGTCCTACCTCAAGTGGAGGAGTTTACGTATCTCGGGGTCTTGTTCACGAGTGAGGGTAGGAGGGATCGGGAGATCGACAGGCGGATTGGTTCGGCGTCTGCAGTGATGCGGACGCTGAGCCGATCTGTCGTGGGGAAGAGGGAGCTGAGCCAGAAAGCCAGGCTCTCGATTTACCGGTCGATCTACGTCCCAATCCTCACCTATGGTCATGAGCTTTGGGTAATGACCGAAAGAACGAGATCGCGGATACAAGCGGCCGAAATGAGTTTCCTCCGTAGGGTGGCCGGGCTCAGCCTTAGAGATAGGGTGAGGAGCTCGGACATTCGGGAGGGACTCGGAGTAGAACCGCTGCTCCTCCGGATCGAAAGGAGCCAGTTGAGGTGGTTTGGGCATCTGGTCAGGATGCCTCCTGGACGCCTCCCCGGGGAGGTGTTTCGGGCATGTCCTGCCGGCATAAGGCCCCCGGGTCGACCCAGGACACGTTGGAGAGGTTACATCTCCAATCTGGTCCGGGAACGCCTTGGGGTCCTGCCGGAGGAGCTGGTGGTCAAGGCCGGGGAGAGGACGGCCTGGAGCTCCCTAGTTGGGATGCTGCCCCCGCGACCCGGACCCGGATAAGCGGAGGAAGACGACGAATTAACAGATTAACAACAGATTATCTTCTTCTGAACAAAAATCTTATGAGTCATGTCTAATTTATCTTGTCACATCAAACATGTTTCACCAGCATTTACCACTTGATCCCTTCATCCCTTTTGGACCCCTCAGCCCATCTAGTCCATCCAGACCTGGTGGTCCAGTTGGCCCTATGAAAACACAAAAAACCACAATGGAACTCAAAAATCGCCTAGCTGTGTGTTTTCACATTAAAAATGGTGTTTACCTGGAGGCCCATATAGGCCAGGTGGGCCTGGCAGTCCCACACCTCCTTGATCACCTGGAGGACCTGGAAAACCCAGACGACCTGATGGACCACGAGGTCCAGGAAAGCCTGGGGATGCACATATTTTGAAAAGCTAAAACCAAAATTAGAAACCCTTTATTCCTTTTGTCCTGACGAGGGTCCAGGGGAGCTGGTACCAAAAAGGGACCCCAAGTTTCTAAGATTAGAAAACATCTTAGCCCCATTTGCATTTGACTTGCATTTGTTTTTTTGTTTTTTTTTCTGGGGGCCCGTGAGTCAGATATAGAATTGGCGTGACTTAAGCTTGGTTTATGCTTGACGCGTCCGCGAGGTTCGCACGGCTCCGCGCGGCAAAATTGCGTTATTTTAACAACCACGCCCCTCCACCGCGCCTCCTCACGGCCCAAACTTTCCGCACGGCGCACCTAGGAAATTTTCTAACCACGCGGACGGTCGAACGCGGAAAAACGTGGCGGACTGGCAAGAACTAGTTATGGCAGAGTTTGTAAATACAGACATTTGTATGATTCAGCTCTCAAAGTTCACCGTGATCAACATGTTGTTAATAAATCTTGGAGAGAAATAGCTCGCACTGTCGGAAAAGACGAGGACGCTGTTAAAAAATGCTGGAAAAACATGAGGGACCAATATGTGAAGGCAAGGAAGGGGAACAAACGGAATTGCGGTGATCCTGGTGGAAACAAGACCACTCCACCAATTCTAAAAGAGCTGAGTTGGCTTTCAACTTTCATTAACAACTGCTATAAACAACAGTAATTTCTACTTCTACTATGGTGTAGTGTTGGATGCAAGCCATAGAGCTCCATGTTGCCCCCTACAGTTTGGGAGAATATTGGTTCCCAAGCCGCATGAACCATAAATGCTGCAAGTTGTGAAGCGTGTTCCATCCGCGAGCCGCTTCACCAAGCGTTAAGTAAATGTGTCAAGCATAAACCAAGCTTGAGGCTTCCTGTCTCTAGCAGTAAATGGAAATGAAGCAGGGGACATCCTGGACATGTCACCAGTCCATCATAAGGACAGAGAAGATGACTAATGTCACAGACAACCATCATTGCAATCACTTGCTCACCCTCTGCTTTTACACTATGTGCATGTTTTTGACACACCTGTAAAACACAAATTTGAAATTTTCACATTTTCTTTTTGACAGATCCATTTGAATTGTTTAGATTTAGTACAGCTATAAATGTTGGCATTTTCAATACCCGTATTAATGAATTGGCCTTACAATCTCCATGATTTCTCCATGGCTAATATTGTTTTTAAATAGTATCGTTTGTTAGTCATCCATTCATCAAATGCCTATTCATTGTTTAGCTATGCCTTTATTTGCCTCAACATTGAACAGAAGAGAGAACAAAACAAGAATAACAAAAGTACACACGATCAGATATCAACAATTTTTTTTTTTATTGTAAACCACTACTTCAGTGTGCTCCCTGGCTGATGATTACACATTTTCTATCAATAATCCTAAAAGACTAATCACCTGGCCCTCCTGGTCGTCCTGATTCTCCCGGGATCCCAGGAACACCAGGTTGCCCAGGTCTTCCTCTGGGTCCTGGGTTACCTGGATCTCCTGGATGACCATTAGGTGCTAAAGTAAATAAACAATTAAAAATCAAATTTTACCAAATGATTTCCAAATAAAAGATTGTGAGGTGAATATAATTTAGGTAGCATTTTTGTTCATTCTCACCAATGGGTCCATCTTCACCTGGTGATCCTTTGGGCCCTTGAGGACCAGGTTCCCCATAAAACTCTCCTGGATCACCTGGAACAGGTTTTTGTAAAAATCAGTTGAGCTGCATAAAATCCAGATGTTTTGAGCTATAGGAAACTGAGTTTGAACATTTATACTTCTGTTTCTAAAAAACCTGATAGCATCTGTTAACCAATGTGCCGTGCACACCAGTCCTTTGTCTTACCCTTGACACCAGGGTATCCCTGAGGCCCGGGGATACCTACTTCTCCCGGAAGACCTGGATCTCCCTTTAAAACACAAAAATACAAATTTTAAATTTCTTGCATGTACCTTTCTTATTACTTGAAGCATAGTACATAAAATGATACCCTGCTTCTAACGTATTATTGTGTACAATGCAGCTTGAGCATATTAATTTATCTATTTTTCTAATAAGGCTCAACTGGTGGCTGGTTTCACATAGTGAATTGAACATAAACAGCTGTAAACAAACTATGAGGTGGTCAGTTGAGTTCGCTGTGTACCGTTTCTCCATCATTTCCAGGATATCCCCTAGGACCTGGGAAACCTTTAATTCCTGGAAATCCAGGGGGTCCTGGCACTCCTGGCCTGCCTGGAGCACCAGCAAGTCCCGATAATCCTGGTGGACCAAGCCATCCATCAGGCCCCGAATCGCCTTTCATGCCCTTTTGACCATTTGAGCCTGAAAAGAATGCAACAAATGACCAAATTTGCAACAATGCACAAATCATGAGGCTTATAACAAACAACATTCAGTTATTTACTGCAGAACAAGATAAGTTGAAGTTTTAATACCTGGAAGTCCTGGCTGTCCTGGTGTCCCTCTCCTTCCAGGAAATCCTGGATGGCCTTTTGTTACATTTACAGTCAGTGAGGGCCCTGATGGTCCTCTGGGTCCTGGAACACCTGGGAGCAATAGATAGATTTATTTATTTATTTATTTTTATTTATTTTTTTATGTGAGAAGATGTCACTAATAACAGCAGAAAATGTTGCATTTTCAGACATGTATGAAATACACATCTTGTATTGTTGCCCTGATTTCTTACAACTTATCATCAAGGTATTGCGTGCTCTAAAATGAGCATGAGAAACATTTGAAACAAAAACAGTTTATTACAACAATATTAAGAAAGCAAACTCCTAATATTGAAATAATTTCAAATGTGTTTAAAGACAACAATGCCAGAAAAGTGCTTCGATCATCAATGAGCAATACAGTCGCTATACTTGGCAAAAACAAGATGGAGAGCATCCAGTTTTAATAATTGTTGGTTTGCTTGTTTGAATACCTGTTAGAACTATTTAAGAAAATAAACTTAAATCTATTAAACTCCTCATAAAGCCAAAGAACAAATGATGAGCCTGTTAACCTGCAGTGTGGATTCTGTTGAGCTTCTGAAAGTAAGGACTTAGCTTTTCTGAATGAGGAAATCATCAAATGGTTTTTGTTTTATATCTTATTGAACTGAAGCACTAATTTGCACCTGATACATAAAGAAATATAGAAATAGGTTCATTTGAAACAAAACGTTAAATATGAGCCAGGTAGATGTTTTGCCTTAACCCTTTAATGATTTTTTTTATATTAATTTATTTTTATTTTTTTAAAGTCACCATGAAAATACATGAGATTAACCTTTTCTGCCAGGCAGGCCTTGAAATCCCGATTCACCAGCATGACCTGGAAATCCTCTTTCTCCCTTTTGACCTCTTAACCCCTGACGTCCAGGAGATCCTGGTACTCCATTAGGTCCAGCCCTGCCAGGGTAACCTTTCTCTCCTAGAGAAGTTGACATAAGTAATGCATTTGAAAAATCATGACTAAAAGACAAATCTTGTAAAGTAATGAAAGTGCTTGTAGAGCAGTAGCTGTGTTTCCTTTATTGTTGAACTTCAGGGTAGACTCACCTACTGGCATGCGCGTGTCTTCGCTTGACCGGGCGGGACGAACGGCCGTTTTCCAGGCCATTTTCAGGAACCTTATGAGTACCTGCTCGAGGTACGTACTCTGAGTGGCCCAGTGAAAGGCCAGGTAAATTTGGTGAGTGAGAACACCGCCAAATGACGTTATTGTAAGAAGTAGGAAATGCAAACGGGGCGTAGAACCGGCATTTAGGAAAACATGAGTTGTTGACGCGTTCTGCGCCAATCGGTGGCGTAACTCATAATGTGGCGGTTGGGATGTGCTGGCGTTTTACCATATTCTTTACAAAGCCAAACTGTAAATGGAGACAGGATAGCTAAGAGAACCTGGCTTCCGGATCGCCCGGTCAATTTCCTCCTCGCTGTATTTACCCTGAAGTTCCGTTAAAGGGAACACACCTACTCAGAGCACTTGTTAAATCATGTGGATTAATGTGATATGTTTAACGTGATTTACCTTTCTGTCCTGGAAAACCATCATTACCAGGTTCCCCAGGGGGTCCAGCGGGGCCTCGTTTTCCTGCTAGGCCTGGACCACCAGAAGGACCGGGTAAACCTTTTGAACCTTTTTGTCCACGCCCAGGAGGACCTGTTTCTCCTCTCCCCCCTTTCTGACCAGGATAACCTTCACAGAAGGGCAAAATTCAAACAATTAATACAAATTTGAGAAAGCTGTTATTAATTTCTATAATATAAGTAGAACAATCTGTGCTCACCTGATATTCCTCTTGTTCCTGGGCGACCAGGAGGACCTGGAGGGCCTGGTGGACTTGTCACATCACATTCAGTGCAGGGTGGGCCTGGTGGACCAGTCGCTCCATGGTCACCATTGTCCCCAGGCTCTCCTTTACGTCCTTGAGGCCCTGGTTGGCCTTGTGTGCCTGAAAGGTTAATGTAATCCAATTCTGTTTTACTGAAATAACTACACAGTAAATGACTTGAGTTTCTTTATAAATTTGTTGAAGTTTATGTGTTTGAATGTGGGTTAATGTTACCTGGTGATCCTGGACTTCCAGGAGTTCCAGGAACCCCCATAACCCCCAAAGTTCCACGAGGTCCTGGTGCTCCAGTAGGACCTGGCCAAGCAGAGAGGACATCTCCAGGGGCACCCTTTCTGCCTGATGGTCCAGGTAACCCAGGAAGGCCTTGAGGGCCATCTAGACCAATTCCCCTGGGACCAGGTTCTCCTGGCTCTCCATCTACACCTGGCGGCCCTTTGACAAATAGAACACAACTGCTTTAATTCACGTGGATTGGATTAGTTTAATAATTATCTAGCTTAGAATGCATTTATTATTAATTTAAATTCAAATTACATTTTTATTTCATCAGACTGTTTAAGAGATTGTACCTGGTGGTCCAGTCCCTCCAGTTCCACCATCTTCTCCCTTCATGCCTTTGTGGCCAGGGGGTCCTGGAGTTCCTGGAAAACCGTCTCTTCCTGGCTGACCCAGAATCCCTTAAATTGGGACCAAACAATTCTAAATTTTAAACTTAAACTAAAGTGTGTATCTGAAACATGTCAATAAACATTTTTAACCAATGATTTATCGATACGGAAGTGGAAGACGGTGATGAAAATAAACTTAAAAGTCATATTAAAAAATGTTAATAATAATAATAATAAAACTTTAAAAAACTAATCTCACAAAATAGCTCTATGCAGGATTGATCGCAAGGTCCATGTGGACCAATGGGACCAAGGGGGCTTGAAGGCCCAGCTGGAGAAAATGGAAGATTTTGTGTGGAACAAAAAATCGAACGAAATGGCACAAAACAGCCTGATATGTTTAGCACATATGAAAATAATCTGGCTTTCACTTCTTACCTGATTCACCTGGCTCTCCCTTAGGACCTGGTGGGCCAACCTGGTCTTTATGGCAGCACGGGTCACCTAATGACACAAATTCAGAATAATTTTACAGAATTTGACACTTTCTTTAAAAGGAAGGCATAAGGAACATTTTCACACAAAGAGATCTGACCTGGAGGCCCTGGTTTGCCAGGGATTCCTGGTACTCCCGGAAAACCCTGATTTCCCGGAGTTCCACGTAGCCCGGCTGAGCCTGGAAAACCAGAGCCAGGAGGGCCCACAGTTCCTGGAAATCCCTTTGGTCCCGGAGAACCAGGGTAGCCTTTGGGACCAGGCAATCCTTCATACCCTGCACCCTGGAAAGATGTTAATACAACATGAGAACAGAAAAACACATGCAGCCACAAGAAGCTGAACTTGTGACAAAGGAAAATTATTTGAATGTACAGAATAGACCTAAAAATTGTATTATTTTAGATTTGCAAACCCACCGGTGGTCCAGGTTCTCCCAAGGTACCAGGTATGCCATCCTGTCCAGGTCTACCTGGATGCCCAGGAGGACCAACATATCCAGGTTCTCCTGGATTACCTTTTGCACCTTTTTACAAACACAAAACACTTGGAATATTAAAATATAAACTTGTGATAGTTGGAGATGTATTTAGATATTTTGTGCTGAACAGTTGCTGTTGGCTTATTGATCTTCTACTGAAAGCAAAAAAAAATGTTTGTGGGAAACGAGTTCTCTGCAAAACCAACTTTTCTGTTTGTTTTATGAAAGCAAAACAGAATTTTGTTTATGTTCAAATCTGTTTTAGTACAAAAGGAGGTTGGTTTATCACACACTAACCTTTATTTCCCACCACAACAGATTCTCCTTTCTGACCTTTTCTTCCTTTTGAACCTGGAGTTCCATGATCACCCTGAGAGAACAATGAGTCGGGAGTTTTGTTATGTTTTCTGGGGTCAAAATGAAGAATAAACTTTCAAAGTCTGGATTTTAAAATTAGAACTTGGTTTTGGGTAATGCTATTTTACATGTGGGCCTCTTGAGCCTTCATTGCCCATCAGTCCTGGATCTCCTTTGGGTCCCGGAGCTCCCGGTAACCCTGGGAGGCCTGGATAACCAGGAGGACCAGGAGGGCCTTCAGTACCCCTACCAGGAATGCATTCACATTCTCCTGGACAACCTTCAGAAGACAGAGGTGGCAAAAAAAATATTAGCATGTTAAAAAGCACAGCAGTGATCAGAACTTAAGTTTGATTTGGTTTTACCTTTTGTTATTTCAGAATGTGTCATACCCATGTTTTAAATTCACACATCTTTTACTTTGTTTGGATTTGATTTGTATTCTTAATTTGTGTCAAATTCCCTGTTAATTACTGGTTTCCATGCTTTTTTGCTCTGGCAAAGCTCCTTTTGTTTTTAGGTGTTAGCCATAATTCAGTTTTTTTTTAAGTGTCTGATGCAGTCTGCTTCCTAGAACTACCTAACTTTCTCTAAGGGGTATTTGTTTTTTTTTCTGTCCAATTATATATGAGCTAATGTGTAAAAAAAACACTTTCAAATTGCAATAATGACTAAAATCCAGTCAGGTTCTGAGTTTGTAAGTTTTCTATCTAGCTGTTGCTTTTGATGTAATGTTTAAATGGGTCATTCACTCATATTTTCTATGCAATCGCAGTGGTCTCTGTTAGGAATTAATGCCATGTAAGTCGTACTCTGGGGACAAAAGCTCCTGTGCAGCTGTTTCAGCATGGAGAATTCAGCTGGAGGAGAAATAGCTTTAGACACGGGATTTGGAGTCTTATTTCCTGATATTTGGACATCTCGCCTCTGATTGGCTAACGGCAATGTGACTGTACCACTGACTCTGTTCTGCAACATTGGTGGTTTATCTCCACAAATAACTGAAATCTGAAGGATTTCTGTCATGTGGTGAAGTTGCTAATGCTAATGGTAAGCTTCTGCTAGCCGAGACATTCTCTGCTGTTTCCTGGATGCTAAACCAACAACAGTCTTCCCCTTTGTGAGACAAGGTGGGTGAGTCTATGAATGATAAGTGACAGTGTGACATAGATCTATCAGGCTTTTTTAATCCTAGAGTTTCATCATCTATTTTCTGTCAGAAGCTAATGCAGGAGATAGGTGTAGGAGACTATCTTCATGTTCAGCCTGCATGGAAAACTCTGAGTGACCAATCATTTAAAAAAATAATAAGTAAAAATGGTATGTCAGAGAAACTCCTCTTTAATTACTAATTACAAGAAAAAGAAGGACAATTAAATGTTTGCTACTAGTAGCCAGGAGTTACCTTTAATTCCTGTCAGCCCTTTGTTTCCGTGTGGTCCTCTGGATCCATTGTCACCAGGCTGCCCAGGAGAACCAGGCTCACAGTAATAATCTGAGGCATTAAGGGAGACAAAGATGATGGCAAACCAAAACAAAAATATCTATGTTTGGGATGAAATTAAAGATTTACCTCCACATCCTGATCCATCACGTCATGTGTATCACAACATACCCACACACAAATAAAAACAAAGTAAATAAAAAACACTAAGGGAAAAAAATATGTAAAAACAGGAAAAACATTTATTTATTTATGAAATGAAAACCTATACCTGGAGGACCTGGGAGACCTGGGAACCCTTTAGCCCCTGGAAGTCCTTTTGCTCCCTTAAGTCCTGGAAAGAGGCCAATTTCATTCTCATCGTAGCTTCCTGGTTCTCCCTTGTTGCCCTTTTCTCCAAAGGGACCTGGCGGACCGGGCAATCCGCGTCCTTCTGAACAAATGAAGAACAAAAACAAACAAAAAATAAATAAATACAACATGAAACTTTAAATAAGTATTGGACTATTCATACTGTATTACTAATTACAGCAAAAAAAATCTAATGAATTTCAGATGCTATCACTACAGCTCAACAGATATTCACTTGTAAGCTGTATGGTGAGTCATAACAACCAACAGATCTTATATAAATTAAGGGTTACTTGTATTTTATAAAGCTTCGGTGAATTCTTACCTGGTAACCCTGGTGGACCCGGAGGCCCAGGCCTGCCCATGTGCCCTGGGTCCCCAGGGATTCCTGGAGCACCTGGATATCCACGGTCTCCTTTAGCACCTAAAGCAACACATCCAACCTTAAGTGGTTTTATTATTATTTACATGTTGTCTTATTATTTCTTTTACAGGCATTTTACATTTTTCATTGTACACAAATAACAGTGGATCACTCAGTTTAGTTCTACAATCTGAACCTATTTCATGGTAAGGTACATTTCAAAATGTTCTAATACACCACTGGTCAGCTTCCATTTAAAGTTTGCTTTTTAATTATTTTGGGTCAATTGGCTTTCATTTTCTCAAAACATTTCATTATGAAGAGTGTTAGTGACTGATGATCTAGATATACCTCTCACATAACTATCACTGTGATTCAGCAAAGGACCAGGTAGACCTTGATCTCCTGGATATCCCTGTAGAGTACAAACACATAGATGCCAACAAATTATATGAACACGAATCTGGGAACAATTTCAACTATTTTGTATTATTTAAATAATACATCAAACTTATATGGCACTTTTTAGGGCACTCAAAGATGCTTTCATGCTCTCTCACATTCACACACTGCCATTTGGCGCTGTCGGCCCCTCTGACCACCACCAACACAGGCAAGTTGGGTGAAGTGCCTTGCCCAAGGACACAAAAGCAGAATATCCCTGGTGGGAGCTGGAATCAAACCCATGACCCTCCGATCATGAGGCAACCCGCTCTACTTTCTGAGCTACTGCTGCCCCATTCCTTTCTATTATATTTGTGTTGTTCTGTAAATGTGGCTGATCCACTTAGAAACCACAAAGGGGCAGTGGAGGCACATTAAACATGTTCTCTGTATGTTATGGGACACTGAAGAGTGAATAACTGTTGCAAAAGCAGCTCACCTTTTCTCCTTTTCTACCGTTAAGGCCCGGAAGTCCTATGTTTCCAGGAGAACCCTTAAATGTAATTTTATGATCAGTAACTTAAAGAAAAGCCTGAGTTATAAACACTTAATAAATGGTTTGAACATCAGTTTCACCCCAGCTCCTGTCCGTCCTTCTCTACCAGGCTGTCCGGGAAAACCCTAAGGAGGAAAATCACAAACTGAAAAATAGTAAAAATGTTTTTTTCTTTCTGTGAAATAAACTGCATGAAGTACAATTTACCCTAGCGCCGGGAAATCCGAGGATTCCTTGTTCGCCTTTAATATCGTGACCGTGCGGTTTTGCTGGAACACCCTGATGGCCAAAAAAGTAAAAATGTATAATTCGTTTATTATTTGTTCCTAGCAAAGCTGCAGGCAAATGATTATAAAACTCACCGTTTCTCCTCTTGGACCACATATTCCAGGAAGGCCTTTATCTCCCTGAGGAGCAAATACTATGCAATTAGCAATGAGAATTCTATTTGAATTTTTACAGAAAATATTCTTGGTAAAGAAAGTTAAAATTTTTTAATTATTTATGTTTTATCGTACATTTATAAGAGATTTTAGCATTTCTGACAGGAAATAGATGGTGAAACTCTAGGATTTGAAAAGTCTGACAGATCTACGTCACACTGGGACTCACCCATCTTGACGCGCAACAGAGAAGGCTGTTGTTGGTTTAGCATCCAGAAAACAGCGCAGAAAATCTCAGCTGGTAGAAGCTAACTGTTAGCATTAGCAACTCAACCACATGGCAGAACTCATTCAGGCTTGTGCTATTTGTCGAGATAAAGCATCCACGTTGCAGAGCAAACAGAAGCCTCTTTTAGAAAACAATGCCGTCATTTTGCCACAGCGCCGTGGCAGCATCAGAGAGCCTTAGCTTGTTTATAAGTGCACAGACTGTGATGGTAAAATTGCACAAACATGTCCTTGTTACAAAAGAATGAGGTGATGGTGGTATAAAGGGTGTACGGGGCGGTCTCTGCGCTGCCGTGGACTTCCGTTTATCTTATACATAACTTGCTTTTTATTGCGATCGAAGCCACACTCATCAAGTTTTTACTTAAGCAGCTCCTAAAGGTGTCTGTCCTCCAAAGTCCCTGTGCAGGTGATCTGAACTCCAGCTGTAATGGAGAAAAGATCTAGGAGTGCTGTATTGCTCCAGTTTTCCATCTCAGCTGATTCTGAGTACAAGAACAAAACTTACGGCCCGTGTTTACTGTAATTTTTCTGCCAGAGCTCGGCAGTGACTCCCCACGTGATCATGACATCTCCTTCTGTTGCTCTACTGCGTAATATCCATTCACAAGTCTGGCATTGTCATGATATCACTACCAAGCGTGGTGGCACAAATGCCACAAAATCCCTGCATCGCCATGCCACCACGGCGCGTTCAGAAGACACACCGTGGCGGCAGTTTTATGCTGATTTTCCAGCATAGTGTGTCCTCTTAAAGGGGCTACAGTCGGTGGTAGAGTCGTGTTGCTATTATCCAATCAGACGTGAGATGTCAAAATATCAGGAAACAAGACTCCAAAACCTGCCATGTTAAGCTCTCCTCTGACTTGATATTCTACTAGTTCCTGAAACAAGTGCATCTGAGCTTTTTTTTTTTACCCCCGAGTATGAAGTACAAGACATTCATTCATACTAGAGACGACTGCAAATGGATTGATTAAACAAGTTAATCACACGTTTGAACAAGTTACAGGGAGCTTGATTAGCTTGTTTTTGTGTTCACCTTGACACCTTTAGGGGGAAGGAAATCTGGAGGAAATTCTACAACTTCTTCAGCTCCTTGTGGGCCAGGAGGACCTTGCTCACCCTGCAGTATATAGATATATCACAATAATTAAAGGTGCATCCATTTAGCTGGAAAAACAAAAAAAACGTAACGTGACGACTGCCGTGAATAGACTGTTCTTACATCGTCACCTTTATCACCGACGAGTGATCTTCCTGGGTCGCCCTGCACAACAAGCAGAACTTTATGAAGTATATGGTGTGATTAAATCAAAAGCATTTTCTCTTGTTACGCGTGCTGATAATGACTGTGAAGATGGCTACTTACTGGCTGTCCTCTCACACCTTTAGGTCCGTCCAAACCCTAAGAAGAATCAGACATGTAGTCTTATAACTACACAATGATATCTTCAGGTAAACAATCTTGAAACGTTGCATTGTGTGAGTAGAAACATTGGACTATTTATACCTGAGGCCCAGAAGGGCCAGGGGGACCAGGCTGGCCTTTACGTCCAATGTCTCCAGGTATTCCCTAATTATAAAAACATAAGCTTCAGAATGAAATGATAAACAAAGTTTGCTACTAACACATAAAAAAGTTTGCATATTTTTGACCATGTAGAGAGAAAAATATAAACCTACAGGCAAACCAGGTTCTCCATCTATCCCACGTTCCCCCTTTAAAAATGAAAGAAACAGTAATAATACAATATAAGTGACAGAGCTCAAAAATGTATTTGGAACTGTGAGTAGGATGTGACTTACAGGTAGACCTGGAAGTGGAGCATCGTACAAAGGTTCTCCTTTATCACCTTTACGGCCTTTTAATCCCTGATGAGAGAACAGCAAATTATCTCAATAAAATGTATAAATAACCACTTTAATTATTATTCCTGATCTACTTTGCTTGAAAGAGAATATGAGAATATTCCCAGCCCTTAATCAAGTGTCTGAACATTAGGACTCACCGGTGGACCGTGAAGTCCATCCAAACCTGGAAAACCAGGTATTCCTGGTTTACCCCTTGTGCCATTACAGCCATCTACACCAGGCAGACCAGGCTCACCACCAGCACCAGGGTGACCCTGAGAAATGGAGGGTTGTTATGATTTACAACTACACGGTGGTGACAGTGGCCAACATTCGCTTAACTAAGAATAAAATGGAACTGTGCTCTTGGGTGTTTATAAAATATACAGTGGGACATGTAGTCCTTACTGGTTTAAACCAGTAAGAAGTAACATAAACATGAATAAACAAGTATTCAGCGTGGACTTCTCTTCTGGCACTCACAGAGTACAGACGCTTCCCTTTTTGCTCCCTTATCTTTTTTTCCCGAGGCTCTTTGTCCTGTCTGCCCACAGAGCGCCTCTCTGCACTTCTCCTGAAAAACCCTATTTTTTAGAAATGGATTTAATTAATTGTTCATTCAGTGCGATTGCTAAGATTTTTTCAATGATGACAATGGAGCAGGGGGCTCCCACTTGCCCGCAAGAGACACACCCGGCAGGGTGTATGCTCGATTCCTGGAAAGAATGGAGGATCGTATGCCTCTCCCAGTTGTCCACTGAGGACATCAAAGATGTGTGGATGTTTGGCCTGATGATCACTGGATTTCTTCTGATTGGAGTGGGAGGATATCTGGCTTTCTGGAAATTTGGGAAGACGGGAGCGATTGGAGGGCGACCCGCACCCGCGGAAAGCACCGTTCGTGTGGGGACCTTACAGACTGGGACGTTACTCGAGGTGAATCATAAGCTGGACAGCGTTCTAGCTGCGTTACCGGTATTAGTGCGCAAAATGGATGTCATCTCGGAGAGGGTCACCGGACAGTGTGGATATGATTAAAACCTGAATTGGCTTCACTGGAGGACTGGAATGATCAGTTACAGACTTGAAGGCAGAGAGGAAAATTATCTCTGCCTGACCCAAACAAAGTCTTGTTATCCGAGTCTGACGCCATGGCAGCCTTGTGAGTGCCAACAACAAACCCCCACGAAGGAATGCAGACAGATGCTGTGAAAACCCGACCTACCCCCCCCCCCACCCCCCCCACCCCCCCCCCACCCCCGCCTTCGGATTGGTGGACTTTAGCCTGGCGAGATCATCAACCTGCAGGTGTCAATGTGCTCTGCGCTCCTCCCAAGATCTCCCTCCCACCTGTGGCTACTGTGGATGAGCGCCATACAGGGCTGCTCTCGCTGGGGAAACAGGATCCCAGCCCACCACCCACCACCACCACCCCACCCCGCCTTCCTATCGGAGTCATGTTGTGAACTGTGATGTTCGTGCTTATATGTTTGAGGCGTTTTTTTGCATAGTAAAGCTATGCCCTGCCGGGAGTAACTCTGGTATGCCTTTTTTTTCCCCTCCCCCAATTTATCCTCATGTAATCCCCTTTCATCTAATTGAAATGAGTGCCGTTATAGCTGCTCTTGTGGTCTGCCTGTATCTGTTCTGTCTACATGTGTGTGTGCAACCTTGGTCAGGCTGTGCTGCGGAGTCAAGTTCCTATGCTCTGGGTCGCTGGAATGCTGGCAATTGAGCTTTTTCTGATTCTGATTACAGTTGTCCACTAGAGGTCCTTGCAAACACATCACAGCAAAAGCTGCATCAACCTTGAATATACAAAGTACTCAAATGTTGCATGAGACATTAGGAAATGCAAATATTCAGATTTTGATACCAAGGGTGCATCTATTTTTAGAATATATAAATAAAAGAACGATATTAAAGCTGTTGGTTAGGATTGTATGCAACCCAACAACAGAAGGCGGCTTAAAGGGTTTAGTTTTGTTAATGTAGCGTCAGGCTGTATAGTGTGACGACTGCAGTTTTATTATGAACAATAAAATATGATGATTCCATATAAATATAAAATATCAATAATATGAATTATTTGACTTTTGACATGTGCGAGTAAATGATTGACAAACAGCAGTTAACTTACAGGTGACCCATCATGACCCATGAACCCAGGAAGCCCTGTCTCACCCTGAAATATTAGAAAAGCAGGTAACGTGTTTGCAATATTTCACAGGAGGCATTTCTAAAATGAATAACATTTATTTTACTGCAGGCTATATTGTCTTTTGAATAAGCTCAGAAAAGCATGATCATATACAAAAAATAAAAACACATTTAGTATTTTTATTTTTGGTTTCATGATCATGTTTTGTAATAAACTAGAATCCAAACACTCACACTGTCACCTTTTGGCCCATCTGGGCCATATGATCCCATTGATCCTTTCCTTCCATTTTCTCCAGGTGGCCCTTCAAGCCCCCTTGGTCCCATTGGTCCACGAGGACCTTGCCGACCAATCCTACCTGGAAGCCCCTACCAACAGATGGACAAAGAGACAAACAGATCTTCAGTAAAATGCATATTTTTGTCGCCCTTAGCAAACAATAGGGATTTTTAAAATATAAAATGTTGCCAAGTTGACAAAAGCTGTAATATTATTATTGTTGTTATAGGGTTATTTTTAATGCAGTGTTTTTCTTCAGTTTGTACCTGTGCACCTTTGGCAGGAAGGCACTGACATTGTGAGCAGTCCCTGCCTTTACATGGATCCTTGATTTCAGCCTAAAACCATAAAACACAGACAACAAATCGCCAGCAGACTTCAGTTTTTCTCAGGTGCTTTTGTGAAAATCAAACAGTTTGGGAAATCTTGAGTCATGAGACAGAAGCCACATCCTGTCTTGTAGGGAACACTTCTGATAAGACATCCTCACATTCCACATCCACGTTAAATTATTTCCACCACTTTGTGTGTGTGTGTGTGTGTGTGTGTGTGTGTGTGTGTGTGTGTGTGTGTGTGTGTGTGTGTGTGTGCGCGCGCGCGTGCGTGTGCGCGCGCGTGTGTGTGTGTATCTTTCTGTGTTTTGAGAGTTTTTCCATGGAGAGATATCTGTGCAAACATTCTGTGGTGTCTTCTCCAAGCTTCCTCAATATTTAGTCTGGTTAGTGCAGCTTGTGATGCACATTTGTTGATAAAACTGTCCAAATTTAGGTTTTGGAAAAAACCTGCATGAGAAATGGTCAACAAAAAAATCTTAAGACTTGAAGTATCAATGAGAAATGAAAGTACTGAAATGTCAGCAGTGTTAAATAATACATTTTATTATTTTTATTTATTTGTGTATTTTATTTTATTTTTAATTTTTTTGTGTGTCTGAAATTCAGCACCTGCTTCCACATGGTTAGGGGGCTAAAATTCCAGCAGACGAGCTCACATCACTCCAGTTTTACAGTCCCTCCACTGGCTCCCAGTAGAATATAGAATACAGTTTAAAGTTTTAGTCCTGACCTATAGAGCTCTTAACAACCAGGCTCCAAGCTACCTATCTGAGCTTTTATCCCCACACACCACCTCTCGGAACCTTAGATCCACATCTGAAAACCTCCTGGCTGTTCCTCGAACCAGACTGAAAACCAAAGGGGACAGGGCCTTTCAGACTATTGCCCCCAGACTTTGGAACAGTCTACCTTCAAATCTCCGTCTCTCTAACACTGTAGAGGTCTTTAAAAATCATCTAAAAACTCACCTTTTCATCCAGGCGTTCTCTCCCTAAATGTTCTAAAAGATGGCTTTGTTTGGGTTCACACCTTCACTTTGTTTATACTCATGATTTTATTTTCTACTTTATCACTGCTATTGTTTTTCTGATGTTTATATTGGTTAGAGGTATTTGCCCTGATCTTTATCATGTTGTACAGCGCTTTGTGATTTATATCTGTGAAAGGCGCTCTATAAATAAACTTTTACTTACTTACTTACTTACTTAAAATTAATAAAGAGCAATACGATTCTTTATTTTCATCCTAATTTACCAGTTATTTGTTTCTACCAGCTGCATAAATACAAGTTTTAAATATTCACAGAAGGATGATACATCCTTTGTATTGACACCCAAACAGCAATCATGTTATGCTTAATTATGGTTGCCAGTTATTAACTAAGGAATCAATGTTTTCTTTGTTTTTAGAAACAATCACATTCCTGTGTGATTATACAAATGTGTTGTGTATGCTGAACAACTGGACACTTTTTTGATGATGATGATGATGATGATGATGATGATGATGATGATGATGATGATGATGATTTATGATTTTAAATAGCCATGGGTATAGGGATATTGGCTTTTTTTTACCAATATCCAATATACCAATAATGTCTAACTTTCTGATACCAATATATGCTGTATCCCCGCTCATAAAAATATGATTTACTTTATACACTGCCCATCCAAGATAAAGTAGCCACTAAAAGAAAAAGGGTCACACACTCCAATATTTCGTTGTACCATCTTTAGCTTTGATTACAGCATGTGGCATTGTTTAGATACGCTTCTGCAATGTCACAAGATGTATTTCCATTCAGTGTTGCATTAATGTTTCACCAAGATCTTGCATTGATGATGGTAGAGTCTGACCACTGCACAAAGCCTTCTCCAGCACATTCCAAATATTCTCAATGGGGTTAAGGTCGGGATTCTGGTGGTCAATCCATGTGGGAATGGCTCATGCTCCCTGAACCACTGTTTGAGCCTGATGATTCCTGGTATTGTCAACTTGGAATATGACCGTGCCATCAGGGAAGATGGAATAACCTATATATATATACAGAAAAATCAGCAGACCTCATTTTTGGAGCAAATCATGTTGCTTAACCAAAACTGCAGCAACCCCAGATCATAGCACTGCCCCCACAGGCATGCACAATAGGCATTAGGCCTGGTGGGTGCATCACTTCATCTGCCTCTCGTCTTACCCTGATGCATCATCACTCTAGAACAGGGTCCATCTGGACTCTCAGACCAGTTTAATAATGCATTGGACAGTTCTTTACCCCATTTTTAGTCATTTCTACAATCTCCTTAGATGTTTTCTCTGCTTGATGTATGCCAATGATCTGACCCTTCTCACACAGGCTACCATATTTTCCACAACCACCAGATGTGTCTTTCCACATGATTGATTAAGAATCGAGAAGGAACTCATTGCACCAGTTGGGGATAAATAACTTGTTGCCAACTGAAAGGTAACTGCCCATGCAGTAATTATCCAATAGGAGGCTCATACCTATTTGCCTAGTTAAATCAGGGTGGCGGCGCTATTTTTGGACGGGCAGTGTATGTTTGTGCCTTGGTGAACATTTGTCTTTGTAACCATTGATGCATTTAGGGAACATTTTGATATGAGTTAAAGTTACTAAGTTGATCAAATGTAATAGTGTACACACGCTAACCCAGGCTAATTGCTAAGTGCAGCGCTAAGATGTGTGTATTAGTCAGTAATGTATTTGTTCTTTTTCTGTAAATTGCTGTATATTGCTCGCAAGCATGTGCACACACACACACACACACACACACACACACACACACACACACACAAACACACACACACACACACAAACACACACACACACACACACACACACACACACACTTATGCAAGCATCATCTCACCCTGCACACATGTTTTTCCTACTGTGGGAGGAAAGTGAAGTTCCTAGAAAGACACCCACACAGATATAAGGAGAACGTGCAAACACTCTCTGAAAGTCAAACCAAAAGGCCTTCTTGCTGTGAGGCAACAGTACTAAGTATAACCGAACTGTGCTTGCAAACACTTAAATCAAACTCTGTATGCAATAAAAGTCAACATTGTTACTTTTTACGAGCTAAAATAAAATATGTCCATAAGTCATGAACTAAGTGAGCCACTACTTCCAAACAGCATACACATTTTACGGATTTTCAGATCTGGGTCTAATAAACTGTATACAGAACGTTAAGTGGCTCTGTAGACTGTAAATCTTTGTAAGAAATCTCTGTAAGAAAAATGTAAATCTGGGGGACAAATAAAACGACCACACAAAAATTCCCAACAGTTAGTTTACAGGTGCACTAAGGAAAAATAATAAATATATTTGGTCACATAAAGGTGTGCAAACTCTATTTATCAATAAAAACCACTTTAATTGGTTCTAACAAAAAATTCTCCTTTTTTCACTATTCTTGGATTTTGTAAATTATATATGAAATGAGAATAAAACAGTTCTTACCGCACTGATGCACTGTAGCTGCACACTGATAATCAGAAAAAAGATCCACCTGCAAATAATACAGTGATGTTAGAATACAAAATGAACACATCAAACATCTTTTGTCCAGCTATATTAAATAATTATTCATAGCTTGCATGCCATAAACATCTTGTGTCTATGTGAGTCTATAATTTATTTTTAAATGTCTGCTGATTTAAAGAGTAACTAGTTAAAAAACAAAAAAAACAACTGTATTTTTTTATACTTTTATTTTACCAGGTAAAAAAGAAGAATAAGAACTTTTTTTTTCATTTACAACTGTGGCCTGGCAAAAGATAATACTTTTTGAAGGAAAAGAAAATGGGGCTGTAAAATAAAGCATATGTTACACAAATGTACACAAACATACAAACAAAGTGTACAACTAAATCACACACTTACAAATACATGATTACAGTGCATGGCAATTTTTTAACTGTGGAACAGCCATGGATAACGGGTAGTCGGTGTGACAGCAGCACGTGTATTTCAGATGATCTGTGATCATCTTCTTTGGAAGGCCAGTTAGATGAAGAATAACGAGCACAGTCATGAGATTTAAAAGGAGCGTATGTAACAAAGGGGATGGACGAGTGGCAAAGAACATCAAGATTATGGAGCAAACTTTTGGATGCAGACCTGTAAATGACATCACCACAATTAAATACTATGTGCGTCAGTCTACGTCAGTGAGGAGTCTAGATTTGCAAGTGACCAGATGTGTTGAATACCTGAATAAACATGCAGTAAGTGTGTTAGAGTTGAGGCAAACGGACCTAAAATGCATGGAATGTAAATGCTAATGATATACAAGACACATATCTGACATGTTTCATGTTACGTGCTACATGTTTACAGAAAATGCATGCACTTTGCAGAAGGACGTGGAGCCATGCATTTTCTGATTATACATGCAAAAGATAAAATATAGTTAATATTAGTTCTATAAGAGACGCAACATTAAAAATATACTCTGATCTCACCAGAGTGGATGCAAGGTCACAGAAGACATAACATCCTTCATCTTGTCAATTTGCTGAACAATTGAATGCCAGGCTCAGTGCTGCCCCCTTTGGTGGAGACAAGAAAACAAGAAACAGCTAAATAAACTGTTAGATAGGTATAACTTCACACAAGATCATGGAAAATAGTAACTTTCTAAAAATGAAAACAAAAAAATGTTTATGCATTAAAGAAATCTGGATTGTTACTTAGTTTTTCTAAATATTTTAAACTTTGGCATAGAAATGATGAAAGCTCACCTCAAAAAATGAGTTGAAATAACGTTCATGAAGGCTTCAGTGCATCCTGAACAGACTCATCTGTGAGCAGATTCAAACCAATCTTCTCCCTTCCTGCCAGTGGAAACCAAACTGCCACTGTTTGTTAGTGATAGGAACGAGATGCTGTTTGGGGTTGAGCATATCAGAAAGCTTAGACCTCCTTCATCATCAAGGTCCAATTAAACAGTGTCTCTTCACCGACACGCCTGTATCAGGACACTTGAACTCAGTCGGTAAACTCTGATTTGTCTGGAGCAACGATCTGCCATCAGTTAGGGTGCAGAAGTGGAAAGGGTTTGATGCAAGCTATTGTAGGGAAGGATAAGCCAACAGTGTTTTATGTTAAACAGCTAATGTAAGTGTGGCAGGAGACGCCATGGGAAGGCCAGTGATGCTGATCTCTCTGATGCTGTTTGCTGCGATGGTGATGGTGACAGAAGAGATAAACGTAAGCTGTCTCTTGATCTGTTTGATTTGTGCCTTTTTTTCAAGCAAGGTACAATAACAATGTTTTACATGTTTCTCCTCCACTCTGTAAACTGGAAAGATGCAAACAAGCTGTTATTTTATTTATTTATTTTTTACATTACAGTGCTGTATAAAGGTTTACATGTGGATCAAGTGCTTAGTTAACTAAGAAAAGTAACCTTTATCTAACTAGTATTTTACCTTACCTGCTTCTGACAAGTTTTCATTGTACAAACAGTAACATATGTCTTTTTATGTTTGTGTCCTGTTGCCTCTATAATGCAAAACAGTTGATTTGCTGTCCATTAGTTTTGGTCTGTTTGTACTTGCACCATGTGTACTTTTCTGAAACGCGGTGCTTCCTGTAAAGGTTTGGGATGTTTCTGCAGTTTGTTAGCACTTCAGTGCACTTAAAATATTCTGTGGTAAGATATTTACTTTGCTTTTATAAAACACTTTATAGAACCAAAGAGAAAGTTTAAACAAAACCAAGAACTTTACTGAAGAGAAACATTAGGTTTGTTACTTCTTTTACAGCCACACCAGTGCATATGAATCAATTCTGTTACATTTGTAGCTCACAGGCTTACATGTCATTTACCTTGACAACAACCCACTTTGAATATTATTAGATATTTATATTTTATTAGAGTTGCTTCTTTATTTTTTTATCGGTTGAGGTCCACGATGCACTTCCTTGGCTGATAAGCTGAACCGTTTGGGGTACTGTAAATAAAGGTAGATGAAAATGAGCTGGCCTCTACAACTCTTCTACAAATCTTCTCCAACAAACCTGTATTTTCTGTGTGACAAACAAGATATTTATTTACATTTGTGTAAAAGTGTCATTTAGGTTTTCAGTACCAGTTCAGCTCAAAAGCACTAAAAGGTGCAACATCTTTATTAAACTGCAGGGTTAATGCTCACAGTTTCTTCTGTTGATCAGACTTGCTTTGTTAATTTATCCTTTTAGTGTGTGTGCAATGGCAAGTCAAGGTGTCACTGTAAAGGAGTAAAAGGCAACAGGGTAAGTTTATTTCTTATTTGGTTTAATGCACCGAATATCTAGTCAATGTAAATGCAACACTGCATGTTTTTTTTTTCTTATTCATTAATCATGCATACATGACTTTTTTACAGCGTTTTATGCTAAATGTTAGATTATTTTTTGTGTTCATTATTTTTCAAGGTTACATCTTTGTTTACACGCATTTGCCGAGAATCCTGCTTATTAGACACATTTAAAAAACATCTTTTTGGACAGGGAAATAATTTAGAGTTGCTGTACTGTTTATAATACTACCAAGTGAAATAGATAAAATCTAAAGTAAATTCAAATGTTTCTCATTTGTATTCAGTTACACTTGAATGTAGGACATAAATGTAAATTATTTTGTTCAACGTATTGTCCTTTAGATGCGATAAAGTTGTTTTAGTTGAAGACAAAACTAACTTTATAAGGATTGTAAATCATGGTTGTCAAATGTGCTACAGAAGAAATCAATTTAAAAATAAAAACACTTTGCAATAAGCATCCCTTTATTAACATTAGTGCATTATTAAACATTTATAAACTATTAAACACAGTTGTAACAACTGCTTAACCATATCATGTAATGCATTACTGAGCAGGACACCCCCCCCCCCCCCCCCCCCCGGCCTGTTGTCCTAACCTTAGTAGTTAACAATAACAGAAATATTACTAAAGGGATCATTTGTTTATTAATGCTTAATAATGCACTTTTTAGTAGCATTAATAAAGGCAGCCTTATTTAATGCATGGGACACCTCATCAATACTTTTTAACGCTGTTAACAATTAATACACAAACAACTCTTTGAGAGCATTTAAAAGAAAACCAGCTTCCTTGCTTTTTAAAAAAGAAGCCATTTAAGAAAAATGGTCATAACTGTTGGTTTACAACCAAATAATTACTCAGGCAATAGAAAAAACTACTTAAATAGTTCCTGTCATACACATTGATTGTGTTTCCTCATTTCTTTCTCAAACACATACAATTAAACACAGGGAGAAAGGGGATTTCCAGGCGTTCCAGGTCCTCAAGGAGTGGTGGGCCGCGCAGGTCCTGAGGGCCATGCTGGACCAATGGGACAAAAGGTAACATTTCAGCTGAGTCTTCGTATTCTGACTCACTTTGTGCCTTCAGTCAAAATCCAAACCCCACAGTCTCAGAATGTTCAGGCAAGGTGATAAATAGCTCCCTGTGCTGTTGATGCTATGAAACATCTCACTGGACCCCTAAGATTAATTATGGGTTTCTCTGTTTTAAAGGGCAACACTGGGCCCGACGGACCCATGGGAGCAAAGGGCGATTGGGTAACAGCTATAGTTCCAGAGCTTTATTCAGAGCATTTTTGGGGGTTTTGTTGTTGTTGTTGTTGTTGTTGTTTTTATCTCTGACACCAATTTATTAGTGTTTGTTGATTTTTCAGGGACCAAGAGGCAAAGAAGGATTTGCTGGTTCTCATGGCTTACCAGTTAGTCATTTTATTTTTGTTTGTTTTTTACAAAACACACTTTACCTTTTGTTTACACATTGCTGGTTCCTTTTCATTTCTGCTAAAATTCACTGACAGGGTATCCCAGGCTTGCAGGGGCCTCCAGGACCTCCAGGTTACCCAGGTTGCAATGGGACAGATGTAAGAAAAAAGTCTAATTTTGAACTTATCTTTTATGTGTTCAGGAGTAAAAACAGCATGTCCTTGCAGGGAGAAGACGGATTTGCTGGGTATCCAGGCAGCACTGGAATGGATGGACTGCCTGTGAGCAAGATACTCAGTGACTTCATGCACTTTTATTCAATTTAACTACTTTGTTGATTTACCATTAACAAACTTTTTTTCCCTTATTTAATTTGCTGTTCAGGGTCCACGTGGTGAGCCCGGCCCTAAGGTAATAAAGTGTATTTCCCAGGGTCTTTGTTAAGTCCTTTGCACATTCCTAAGAAACGAAACAGCACATTTTCTTAGGGAGGATTGTCTTTTAGGAAGCAAAGATCCTGATGCACCATAAAACAAAAAAACACGATGCTGCACAAATATTTACATCCACTGTTTCTCTAAACTCCCTGAGCTCATTTCATACCTGGCCAATGTGAGACTAACTTGATTTAAGGGTTTTCTTTCTTTTTTTTCTTCCTTTCATCTCCAAAGTCACCTCTGAATGAGAAAATCACATTCACAATCAAATTTAAGGTTCATCAGAAAGACCAAATAATGTTTTGATATGAGATTTTTATTTTTAGACGATTGTCCCAATCACATTTTTATAAACAGATGAGTGTTCCAAAAATATCCATAGAACCTAATTTACATTTTATGCTTAAGCGGTTTGCCGACTTGTCGAGGCGTTTAATACCTGCTTTCCTGAAACTTTTAGTCTACGATACTTCTGGGAAATTATCTCCATGTGTTTAGAAGACTTATTTAGAAGACTGAGGCATATACAATTGTTTAAAAACTCAACTGGGACCAGTTTAAAACTACATGGTGTCATCTCAGCAAAGACAGGCTTGAATGAAACGTCATTATTAATGCTAAAACTAATTGTGAAATCTTTGCATCAGCTCTTCCAAATCCGAGTCCATGGTCGAGCCGGAATAAGGGTAGAAGGCTTCACCCAGGTCAAGGACGGGGTGGAGAAGTTTATGTATCTCAGGATCTTGTTCATGAGAGAAGAAATGATAGAGCATGAGATCAATAGGCAGATTTGTGCAGATGTGGGCGTTGCCCTGGTTTGATGTGGTGAAGAAAGAGCCTAAAGAGAAAGCTTTCGATTTACTGGTCGATCTACGTTCCAACTCTCATCTAAGGTCACAAGCTGTGAGGAGTGACCAAAAGAATGAGATCACAGATGCAAGCAGCTAAAACAAGTTTTTTTCTGTAGGGTCTCTGGCCTTAGAGATAGGGTGAGAAGCTCAGTCATCCGGGAGGGGCTCACAGTAAACCCACTGCTCCTCCACATTGAGAAGAGCCAATTGAGGTGACTCTGGTTAGAATGCTTCCTGGACACCTCCCTGGTGAGGTTTTCCAGGCACATCCAACAGGGAGGAGACCTAAAGGAAGACCCAGGACACGCTGACGGGACTATTTCGTTTATCTGGCCAGGAAGCCGACCTGGAATAAGTGGAGGAAAATTAGTAAATGGATGGAAAATCTGTATTAAAATGAAAATGGCGTGTAATGTGTAAAGCTTATTATCAAGCTATATTTACTGTATTTGTCTGTAAAAAGTGAATAAAAAACCTAATGGAAATGTCATGGATCTCTTTTACAGGGTGACCCTTTGTCATCAGGTCATTCAAACCCAGGACAAAGAGGACCACCAGGGATACACGGATATCAAGTAACTTTATGAACGCTGCACCATTTTTTTTTATTTTGTATTCCTAAAATCTGTCAATCAATCAACTTTTATTTGTATAGCGCTTTCCATCAGGCGCTGAACACAGCACACATAAAACATAGAAACAAGACACCAATAAAACTAGGGTCAAAAGGAAAAAAATCGCTAATAGCAAACAAAAGTAAAAACTATTAAACTCTGTTAAAACCAGTCATCAAACAGATTGGGTGAAAACCAGACGATAAAAATGAGTCTTCAAGCAACTCTTAAAAGCAGCCAAAGATGGAGACAGCTTAATGTTAAGAGGTAACTTGTTCCAGAGGGATGGTGCTAAAACAGAAAATACCCTATCCCCACAAGTCCTGGACCTGGAGCGAGGAACAATTAGCAGGAACTGATCTGCAGAGTGCAATGAAATGTAAAATGTAATAAACTTAAAATGCAGGAGAAAATAAAATAATATGTTATGTTTTATATTAATTAGAAGCGAAAATTGTCTTTCTATTTCAGGGTCGTCCAGGTGCCCCAGGAGAGAATGGGCTTCCTGGAAGCGCTGGACCAAGAGGATATGATGTGAGTAAATGTTATTTATTTTTCAGAAAATGTTCCTAAAACGTGCTTACGGTAAATATCTGAATTCCAGGGCCCCCCAGGTCGTTCAGGAGTTCCGGGATCGAAGGTAATGTCGATGAATGTGTAGTTTTATATGCATGTAAAGTTTTAACCGGGTAACAAGGTAAATATTTACATCTCATGAGAAATCAAAAACACAGCTGCAAAAGTGGTGCTTGGATTGATAGTCAGCATTCACACCACCTGGGAAAGTCTAAATATTTCTCACTTTGAGTCTTAGTTTTGGATTCTGGTGCACAGCATTGCTCACTTATCAGTGGTGAGGTATTGTGAACATCCGTTTCACACGGATCTCGCAGCTGGAACTGGAATTACAGACTATTTGTAATGATGAGAGTTGTATCCGGAATAAAACAACACTTTGATGCTATTTGTGGTTTCCATGCAAAATTACATTTGTTTGTGTTAACATGGAGTTTGCACAATCTAATTTTCTACTGAGATAAGTGTTAAATTCCTGCTCCATCCTGCAGGGTCAGGAGGGCTTAGCAGGTGTCCGTGGATCTCAAGGACCAAAGGTAATTTTGATGATCTGGAAACTTCATAACATTCTGCTTTTTGGTTTAAAATCTGTTGTGTTACAGCTCTGCTTCTTTTAAACTAACAATTACATTAATTTTATTGATGTAGGGGAGACAAGGCCCACGAGGGCCACCTGGACCACCAGGCAGGATTAAGGAGTTTTTAACTGGGAGTTTGGAAATAAAGGTAAAGAAAAAATAACAATACAATTATTATGCCATACGAATAAAATAATTACAACAGTTGCCGAATCCCCTATGGCATTTGTCATTTTAGCAGCCGGAACAGTTGAGTCAAAAACATCCATCTACCCCAGGGCTATTCAATTCCAGACCTGGAGGGCCGATATCTAATAGGTTTTGGTTTTAACTCTGCTTCAACACACCTGATTTCAAACAGCAGGTGATTAACAGGCTTCTGCAGAGCCTGATGAGCTGCTGCACAGGTGATTCAACCACCAAATCTAGTGTTCGGACTAGAGAAAACATTAAAACATGCTGGATAACGGCCCTCAAGGCTGGTGTCTAGCAGTCTTTGGGCAAGCAGGCAGGACACACCCTGGACAGGTTACCAGTCATTGCAGGGCAATACAGAGACACACAGGACAAATAACCCTGCACTAAGCACGCAGCCATGCACTCCCCAAGAGAGACCGATCAACCTAGTCATAATTTTGGTCTGTGGGGGGAAGCCAAAGAAATCTGAAGAAAGCCCATATGTTCACAAGGAGAACATGCAAACTCTGTGCAGAGAGATCCCAGGCCAGGATTCAAACCTGAGATCTTCTTGTTGCAAGGCAACAGCGCTACCCACTGCTCTACTGTGCAGCTCCTTAAGCTTGACATTTAAAGAGGTGCCAGACTTCACTTTGTAACTTATTAGGCTACATTGTCAAAGTTAAGGTTTGCTAAAAAATGCTTTACAAAAATTCATTAATGCACACATTATATATTTGAAATTAACTTTTAAGGGAGATTTTGCAGTTTAGTTTCATTTTAGCACCCCCTAGTGTCCAGTTAGTAAAACCAAAAGTCTGACTTATCTCCTCGCTGTGCATTCATCTTTCTAACTGCTGCTCTCTTCAGCATTTGCTCATTTCTACTGGAGCAGTTCATCACTAAATCAAACAAACCATGCAACGTGATGGAAGAAGACTGCAGTGCAGGCATGTTCACTTTACTAAATTCAACAGGAGGCGGCCTGACACTTTGAAGCTGCAAGTGCAGTATTTTCGTCACAGAGGGTGGTAAAGTGTCATTTTGGCACATACTGGCTCAAGAAAATTATTTCTAAATGTGGAAAAAGTTGCACAGTATGCCTTTAATTGATTGTTTAAGAATGAAACATGGTTGTAGGCTGAAGAGCCGGTGGTGAATTAGTCCCACAACCTGTTTGGAGTCTCACACACCAGAATAAATGCTGCCCCAGTGTTAGCAAACCTTACCAGCTGAAAGTGCTCCATGCTTTCTGGCAGCTGACTTAATAGCAGTTCACACAAACCACATCAAACAGTAAACTATCCAGCAGAGTGGATTCTACAAGCTTTGAGGAAAATATGTTTAAATGCAAAGTTTTTCATAACCAACCTCAACTTTGACAATGTAACCTAATATGTTACCAGGTGAATGCCGATAACTCCCGATGTGTCAAGTTTAAGATAACCCTAAAATAGGTAGAAACTTGACCCATTATAGTGTGACATGACAAAATATAAAATGACCTTCATCGTGTAATTGTTTATGTTTTGTATGAGATGGTGTTAAGGTCTAGGCAGTACAAATCTTCTGTTTAAAATGAATTTAAAAGTTAGACTAAAAGAGTCAATTTTAAGAAGTAAATTTTAAAAGACAACCAATGCTGCAAAACACACTGAATAAAAAAAACATACAAAAAAGGACTATGTTTAAAATTGTTAGCTTTTTAAAATGTAGGCACAATTTACATGGATATTTTAGGCAGTTAGTTTTGCTGCAATTATCAACATGAAGATTACCTCCATCTTGGAAAACCCCTCCCACCCACTGCATTCCACAGTGGAGACCATGAACCGCTCCGTCAGATGCCCAGATACAAGATGTAAAACAGAGGTCATTCATCCCCCCTGCAGTAAGAGTTTGACTGGTTTAACTGGTACTGGCATTATGCTGTTACACAATAACCTCAGTGCAATATGCAGTATGTGTTCAATACCAGGTGTACATTATGTCTGTGTCCGTTATGCTGCATAGTTCTGGAAAGACAAGTTTTCTTTTTATTTGTTGTTTTCAGTGGTTGCAGGTTACAACAATAGCATATTGACTTTGTGTTTACCTGTAATCTTATTAGTATTTTTCTTCTTCCTTTTTCTCTAAGTGTATGTGCTGCTCTAGCAAGTGAATTTCCTTACTGTGGATTATATTCTAGTCTGTTTTACCACGAAGTCTGTGTCTTATTCAGGGAGTAAAGGGAGACAAAGGGAATGTGGGAGACAAAGGCTGCAGGGGTGAGACGGTAAGTTCTGCTTTAACCCTTTATAAGGCCAATGTCTATATTTAGACACTTCCACTCGCATTACAAATGATGTCGTTGTGCCTTTTCACAAACTCTTAGAATTACGGGATTTCACCCAAACAATCATCAGAGATCAAGCTAGTCACAGATTGCGCCATGGCGCCATTCCACCATTCAGTGCGGGGCTATAAGGAGCCAAATACTGGTGTGTCTGCAGAGCCAGAACACTGCTAGATCTCATATTGTGTTTACGGTCAGGTATCTAAAACTAACAAAGCTAGATTTATGAAACTCTCACGTCACCAGGTTGACTAGTTGTGCTAAATAAGGATATGTGTGTTGTAAATGTTAAACTCAATAAAGTTGGTGAAATCTTAGCATGACAATCAAATCTGCCATATTTGAACATACGCCCTGAACAAGTAAAATGAATTATGAATATTTTTAGGTAAAATCTGTTGTTTTTAGACATAATCTTAATATTCTTGGTAACAGTAATAATAACAATAATGATATTGAATTTATTTTGCAGTTTTGAACTAAGATTTATCCGGGAAATGAAGGAGGACTGTTATTGTGCCAACAAATCTCACCATCAGTGATGATGATGAACAGGTGGAAGATGACATTGAGGCATATTCTCAAATATAAAATATTCATAAATTTTATGATAATCTATATTTGATCAGAATTAGTATCTATTGTTCAATACATTTTCTAAAATATTCTACAACTATCTGTTTTTATAAAAATGTTCTATATTGTTTAATAATTCTTATATATTCTGTATTTTTGAACAGCGAATGTTCTAAAATTAGCTAGATTATTCTAAAGTGTCTAATAATTATCTATACTGTTCAAAAATAATGTTTATTTAACTTGTTCATGTGTTTTATTTTGGGATTTATTTTACCAAAACAGGGTCACTTTGTTTTCTCTGGTTTTTTGCATGAAAGTAAATATTTTTGAAATTTTTAACAACAGAAATACACTTTGGTTATGGACTACAATACCACCCTGGGGTTGAAATGTAAAAAAAATACTTCAATGAGTGCCCTATAACGGGTTAAGATTCACTCAAGAGTGTATTTGATATGTTAAAATGTTTCTGAAGAGTTATTTTCTGTCAACTTGTCATCAGGGGAAACCTGGTTATGGCTTCTACGAAAAGGGAGCAAAGGGAGACCGAGGACAGCCGGGTCCAGAGGTAAGACAAAATTCCTTCTGTTTCCATTTACAATCCCCACATCAGATTTTGCATGATGTCTGCTAGAAATGTTCTGTTTCACATGAGGGTCCATTTAGGTCTGTTTCGTACAAAATCTCATCTGCAGAGGGCAGTGGTGCAGTACTAACCTCAGTGTTCATGTCTGAATTGGTCTGAATTGAAACAATGAAACATGGTTTGCTTCACTGCAGCTTCAAGGAAGCCAAACTGAATTTTCACTTGCATGCCATGTGAAGATTCTTCAAAGTATCTTTTTTTCTTATAACCTTAAAAATTACCTCATTAAACCATGGATTCAGAACTACAGTGATAAGCTCCTCTCTTAGAAGATACATACACGTCTTACTCTGATTGGGTCATTTTCAAATGTTCTCTTTACACCACGGTAGCAAAGACATTGCAGCTAGAGTGTCAAAACTGTATTTTCTTAGAAGATTTGCCCTGGAAATAGCCTTCCATTCACAGAATAATGAACTGATCTCAATTGGAATGTTTTACTTTGTGAGGTGCCTTGAGACGACTCTTGTCATGATTTGGCTCTATATAAATAAACTGAAATTAACTGAATTGAAAATGTAACACTGTACTTGCTGCGTGGCTAAATGTTTTAATTTAAAGCTGTGGAACAATGAGAAACCATTTGTTTTCAATCTTATTTCTGATTATAGGTTTATGTTTATGTATTTAGCAGACACTTTTGTCCAAAGTGACTTACAAGTTATAATCGGCATGTTGCCCTTGAGGCTAACAACAACAATAACAACAAATTTCCAGTCAGATGTAGGTGGCAGTGAGGCAGCATGATGAATCATGGAGAGGAGGGAACAAGGAGTGGACAGTAGAGAGGGGGGACGGGTGCAGGGAGGGTGCTAGTTCAGAAGATGCTCTCTGAAGAGCAGGGTCTTCAGGAGTTTCTTGAAAATTGAAAAGGAAGCCCCTGTTCTGGTAGTGCTTGGTAGGTCATTCCACATTTGTGGAACGATGCATGAGAAGAGTCTGGATCGTCCTGAGCGTGGTGTGGGCACTGCTAGCCGACGATCCTCTAGCTAGCCGAGGTCGCTCTGAGTTTTCATGCAGGCTGAACATGAAAATAGTCTCCTACACCTATCTCCTGCATTAGCTTCTGATAGAAAATAGATGGTGAAACGCTAGGATTTGAAAAGCCTGACAGATCTTCGTCACACTTCGTCACTTAACCTTCATCCATCGCGACTAAAAACAACGAAGGCTTTAGTTGGTTTAGCATCAAGGAAACAGCAGAGAACATACCAATAGCTACCAATTAGCATTAGTAAATTCATCACACAGCAGAACTCCTCCAGGTTTGTGTTATTAGTGGAGAAAAAACATCCAAATTCCAGAGCAAACTAAGTCAGCGGTAGAGTCGCTTTGCTGTTGTCCAGGCAGAGGCGAGATGTCAAATTATCAGGAAATAAGGCTTCAAAACCTGCTGTCTGAAGCTCAGCTGTGACGTGGCTCACTTCTAGTTCCTAGAAACAACTTTAAAAAATCTTTATTTAGATTCAGGGACTAAAATCACAGCTCCATTGTTTGATGACTTATTTTCTGTGAAGGGAAAACCAGGGAAGGATGGTGATCCTGGACTGCCTGGACTTACGGTAATCACTGGTAAAAGATATGTGTGGAAAGTTAACCACTTATTATATGTGTGCATGTGTTTGTGTAAGTCTAATACAACTCAGTTCCAATTTAGGGAAGGCCTGGCCCCAAAGGTGATCCAGGATTTCCAGGAGCACCAGGAAATAGGGTCAGTGTCTGTTTGGTTTTAAAGAGTAACTAAACCCCAAAACAACTTATTTTTTTATTTTTTTGCATATAAACTGTATAATTGGGTCTTTAGAAATACAATCTTTCTGTTTCTGTGCATTTTTTGACATGTTTGTGTAACGTGCAGCAATGGTCAGTTTAGGTACTGTTTGACCATTTGACATCTGGTCAAAAAGGAGACACAAGACTGCATGTGTTCCCTTTAAATCAGCCTGCAGACATTAAAACCAGATCACGCTGGTGATTCTTCAGTTCTAGAGAAGCTTCAGGCCGGCCACCTGAAGCAAACACTGTTTAACCCACCAAAGCTGTTGACATGTCATCAAAACCTTTTTTTTGCACCTGTGAAGCTGATACAACAAAACAATTCATACAGAACAAGCTGATTTGTTCAACTCCTTAAGAGTTATTCCTGAGATGCAAACTAGTTCCAACTGGCGTTACCTGGAGATGACTCTGGACTGACCTGGTCGTAATGCAAGTTAATCTACGGACTTCGGTGTACACCCCCCCCCCCCACACACACATCTCGGATCCAAAAGGGCGTCTCCACTTGGGTGCGTAGAACACAGTGAGATTATGTCTGGATGTGGGTTTTGATAATACTCAACCTCATAGCTTAACTAAAACCAAACTCATTTACATCCAGAATGCAGCTCTCCGAGATACGGAACTTCTGACCAACATCGCATTCACACACAGGTTCCAGGTCATCACCTTTAGTTCCATCCACTCAGAGTAAATAATAGTTAACCAATTTGTCATGTTTTAATTGTTTGTAAAATTAATTCTTACTTTTATAAACCTGACTGTTTCCTGAATCAAAACGAAGTGTGTACAATCCCCTAATAAATAAAGACTCCTAGCATCTTCTGATTAACCACAATAAAGACCAGGCAGGGTGTTATTCTATATTTAGATAGAGTATCACAGCTTATTGGTCACAAGTGGAGTTTATATATATATATATATATATATATATATATATATATATATATATATATATATATATATATATATATATATATATATATATATGTATACTGAGCTAAAGTACCCAGTTTACCTAAACCTACATTTGTGTAAACTTGATTAAAACTAGAATTTAGGTCTAAAACTTTCTCAGTGCTGCCCCCTGTGGGTTAAACTGTGGCTACTGCATTTTAAATTTGTGATTCACTGGGGCTGGAATATTTTCACGTCATCGGTACAGTTTCCTTCCACTCCCCCTCCCTCCGAGGATCCAAATTCCCCACACTTGGCCATGCCACTCCGTGCCTCCTGGCAACGCCCACTTTCATAGCACTTTTCAAATCTTGACTAGGTGTGGAGTTACATTTTGTGATGTACACAGTCCCTCTTTAACCTCTATATTCATATGTTGGTTTATCATTATCTGTGCTCTTTGTTTTTTAGGGTGAAAAGGGAATCAGGGGCCCTCTCGGTCCACCAGGAGATGTATGTTTTATATACAAATTTGTTGATTGTGTTCAACTGTTTTGGCTATTCTCTGTGTCACTTTTACAAACTAAATAAGACATTAAACTACATGTCAATTAATTTGTCAATCCAAATTTTGCTGTAAGTGTGTTATAACTTTGTCAGTCCCAAAAACTTTCTGTTGTGACGTACAGCCAAAAATAATCTACTTGAAATATTCCATTAGCTGGAGGCGTTGCATAGAAATAGAATGACAATTCTAAACAACATTAAATATGTTCTATAATCCAGTGTCTACATGTAAATCTTGATGATTAATGAGCTCCGAATTTAAAATGCACATTTGGACTCTTCTGAATTTCTTAAAACAATGTCCAATAAAATACAAGCTCTTAAAAGTAGCACATAGCACAGTAGCACTGCGCTGTGCCGTTTGAGCCAGCTGGAGATGAAAAAGCTAAAGTTTTAACCGTAGTGCCTTGATTTGGCATCAACTTACTATGAAAGTTACGCTACTGCAGAGAAAGTGATCACTGTCAGTCTAAAAAATATCCAGTTTGTTCCAGTTCAGGGCGGTCTTGCTCCTCTGAGTCTCTGCACAGTTGTAAACTCACAAGTGAGCCTGCAGTCTGAGATGAAAATGTTCTGTTAGGCTTTTATCATGCATAACAGATAACACAGCTTGGACACTTTTAACTTAAAGCCAGCGAAGGGATGTTACAACTTGAAAATGTGCTCGTTATGTTAATTAGCATCAGAAATCCACAACTGTAATTGCTCTGGGTTTCTCAGACTTGCTCATTTTTAGTCCAGATATGACATTTTTCTAAACCCAACATGTTCCTAATTCAGGACAGAATGCACAAGTAAGGAAACTCAAAGTAAATGAGAATTTTGGGACTTTTTCTCTGGATTAAAATAAAGTTCTGGAGGGCACGGTTATGTTATCCACAGTATGACTCGGGCTTTTTATTCTCGTGGTCTGTTATTTATTGCTATTTATATGTATTCATTCTCTTTTTTTTTTCAGATATTTTTTCCAGAGCAACTCAAAGGATATGCTGGGGATCCTGGTTTTCCAGGTCGTCCTGGGCTTCCTGGGCATGAAGGTATACAAATGTTGTGCTCTATTAGAGCTGAGAAGTTTGAAAATAAATATCAAAATTAAAGGCTGTGTTCAAAACTGGATGACCCCTGTTTCTGTGTTCGTGCTTAAAACTCTGAAATAGTGTCTTTTCCTGCTAGAAATTAGCATTTCAAGATGCTAATCATTATGCTACTGTTTTCTCAGGTGTTGTAGGTTTTCCTGGACCTGCTGGATCACCAGGTTTACAACTCAAAAAAGAAAAGTTTTTCTAACACTAGCATTAAAGATATGGCTGCTCCTATTTTTAACTCCTAACTTTTGATTTTGCCTCATGCAGGTGACACATTTGAGAATTTTGTGCCAGGCCCACGTGGTCCACTTGGTTTACCAGGACCCAAAGGAGAACCTGGGGATCCAGGGGGTTACCTAACAGGCCCCCGAGGTCCAGATGGAGATCATGGTAATCAAGGGCTACCTGGGGAACAGGGCCCACCAGGACCCCCGGAAGACAGAAGTACGTAAATTTTGATTGTTGAGGAAATCTGTTAAAGATGCTTTTATGTTAAATGAAAAGATTGCCAAATAAAATTCAATCTTCCGATAATTTTAAAATACCTTATTCACTTTGGAGTGTTTGGAGAGATTGATGTTTTTCTCTCGCTCTTTCCTATTTGCCATTTGTTAATAAAGACCCAAAAGACAGAAGCAGAATGAAGACAGCAATGCAAATACAACTTTAGACTGATGTTAAAATGACTTTCTAACCACTACAGGACTACTTTTGCTTTAATATTACAACATTATCAATTTCTGATGTTGGATATTGTTTTGCTTCTTGGATTACTAAGTACAAGGCATTTACTACAACATTTGGAATTTCCTAAATGTTTGACCATTTTCCCAGTTTTCCGTTTGAGTAAATATGTTATGTATCTGTTATAACAGGAGTAGTATTGGAAAAATGTTATAAAGAAACTGATGAACTTTTATGTGGAGTTTCTTTTTAGCTAACAGAGTTACTAAGGGTCTCCCTGGAATGAAAGGAGCAAAAGGCTTTCCTGGATACATGGGACATGATGGGAATTTTGGAAAGAAAGGTGGGAAATTAGACTTGATTAAAAATGAATAATTGTCATTAAAATGTTTTTATTCAATTCAGTTTATTCTGTAAAACGCCAAACCACAACAAGAGTCATCTCAGGGCAATTTAAAAAAGAAACATTCTACTTAAACCAATTGGTTGTCTTTATGTATCTCATGGTGGTCATTTCATTTTGAAAGGAGCAAATGGCAATGACTGTGACTGATTTTCCATTTTTCCACAAATGTATGTGTAACTAATCAGGAGAAAAGGGGGAACCCTGTTATGAGTGTGGTGGAGAAGGATCCCTTGGTCCGCCGGGTCCTCGAGGTCCACCTGGCCCACCTGGTACAACAGTTCACTCCTTTTAAACCACTTAAGTTGCAGTCTTGCTGATTTCATACGATCATTTACTCTGGGAGAATATTTCAATGTTTGAAACTCAAATATAGACGTGTTTTTGCTGCCATTCAGGTGCTAATCTAGGACCAGGTGAAAGGGGGGATCCAGGCTTCCCAGGACCCACGGGGCTACTTGGACAACCTGTAAGAAAGTGTAGTTTTACACTTTTTTAATATATGGTCATATAAGTGATTGTAAATAAAATGTTTTGTTTTAAAAAGGGTCTTGTTGGTCCAAGAGGATTGCCAGGTCCTCCAGGACAGAAAGGAGACTCATACTCCTATGAATCTTCTGGTGTAAAGGGAGAAAAAGGAGACCCAGGACAACCTGGAAGACCTGGTGCAGGAGGTTCTCCTGGGTCTGCTGGAATACCAGGTCGAAAAGGCCCTCAGGGGCTTCCCGGGGATTCTGTGAGGAATTTGATCGATTTCATTTTACCACAAGCCTTTTTTGATACTTTGTTCAAGATAAATTCACAGACATCGGTAAAACTAAACAAAGTAATAAATATCCAACTTCCCAGTATTTTCTGCCTGGTGTAGAAGGAAAGCCTGGATTCCCTGGTCTACCAGGGCCTTCAGGTAAACAAGGACCAGGTGGCTACCCTGGACCAGTGGGTTATGGACCTCCTGGACCTCCGGGTATTAAAGGAGACACTGGTGTACCTGGCCTACCAGGACAACCTGGAATTCCAGGTGGGAAACTGACAGATCAAAATGTAAAATGCGAAAGGATGTTGATGAACCTGCAAACATCCTTCAACTATTTTTGTTGGTAGGCCAAAAAGGAGAACCAAGTTATTTTCATTCTCAAGGACCTCCAGGACCACCTGGATTAAAAGGTCTGACTGGCCCACCAGGAAATCCAGGTAAGTGTGGTGGATAGACGGACAAATGGATGGATGGATGATTCTCCTTTATCGACTTACCAATTTCTAAATATATTTATTTTATTTATTTACTTATTAACATATATTTTAGGAGGATAAAATGACAAGATAAACATATTTTTTCATACTTTTCCATAATAACCCAGGATACCAAGGCACAAAAGGTAGCCCAGGAGCGCCAGGCACTCCCGGGCCAAAAGGTGAAAGGGGTTATGTGTCATTCTCGGGAAGGCCGGGAATCCAAGGACTTAAAGGTACTGCTCCAAGTATACCAAGTTAAATGGTAAATGGTAAATGGCCTGTATTTAATATAGCGCCTTCTAGAGCCCTGGAACCCCCCAAGGTGCTTTACAACACAACCAGTCATTCACCCATTCACACACACATTCACACACTGATGGTGATGAGCTACAATGTAGCCACAGCTGCCCTGGGGCGCACTGACAGAGGCGAGGCTGCCGAGCACTGGCGCCACCGGTCCCCCCGACCACCACCAGCAGGCAACGTGGGTTAAGTGTCTTGCCCAAGGACACAACAACAGCGACAGACTGAGCGGGGCTCGAACCTGCAACCTTCCGATTACTGGGCAAGCACTTAACACCTGTGCCACCGTCGCCCACAGTTAATCAAATGTATTGCTAAAACAATGTAAATAAAAAAATAAAAAACAGTTAGTCAGTGTAACGCATGATTTTATCACTGCGACTGTTTTCCAGGCGATAAGGGACTGCCAGGTCCCCCTGGCACTCCAGGTAGGGGATTCACTGGACGGCCTGGTCTTCAAGGCCCTGCTGGTCCTCCAGGGGAGAAGGTCAGTAGACATTTTTAAAAAATAAACAGTAGTTTACTGTGGAAGGCATATGCCACACTTAAGTACTCCCTTTTGCATTCTGTAATGTCAGAAAAGAATGGTTCAAAGGAGATTAGAAGGAGATGGAACTGAAATTAAGATTCATTCTCTGTAAAGTACAAACTATTAGCCTGCAGTCAGAAGATTGGTTTCTTTTGGGTGAGTTTGTAGTTGGACATCACTACATATGCACATGTATTGTAATGACTTACATATGTTTTAGGGTGATAGTGGTCCTGGACAACCCGGCCTTCCAGGTCTTCCAGGACTTCCAGGTGAGGATGGAGCTCCGGGGCCAGCAGGGGATCCTGGAATACCTGGCTTTCCTGGGCAACCAGGACTCATTGGAAAAGCTGGTTTTCCAGGAGAAAAAGGTAGTTACACAGGAGCCTCAGACTGCAACATGAAAGGACACATGACATGTACTTTTGTTTTCACATGATGGAGTGTTTATCTGTTTTCCACATTATTGTGCACAGGAACAAAAGGTTCTGAGGGCCCTCCGGGGCTTCCAGGCAGCAAAGATTTATGTAAAGGTTTACCGGGACCACAGGGAAAACCAGGGGTGGATGGTTATGCTGGACATCCAGGTCAGATTTCTAACTTACATAATGCCCTTTTAAAGTCAGCTTTAGATGGTTAAATGAAAAAAATAAATAAATAAAAACCTTCTGCTTCTTTTTTCTGTCTTCAAGGACCTAATGGCTTTCCCGGTGAAAAAGGAAATTTAGGTTCACCTGGGTTTGGTCATAATGGCCCCACTGGGGAACCTGGGCCTCCTGGGTTATCACAACCAGGCTCAGATGGACCACCTGGACCAAAAGGAGCAAAAGGACTAAATGGTTGGCCAGGTGAACAAGGTATAGCATTTGTTTGTATCTATTGAGACGTGTATGCATTCAAAAAATCATTTTTTCTCACACTGCAACATAAAAACTGATTTTAAGTTCCTTACTATGTTTTCTAAAGTGTACAACATTTCCAAAGTCCCTGATACTGAAATATGTGGAAAAGAATATGTTTTAATAAAGAGAGGTGCTTCAAGAAACATTTGTTTTGATAAAATCTATCAAGATTGATCCAACCAGTTTTATGAGGTAATCACTGTAAATATGAATCTAAACCCAAACCATCTTAATAAGGTTGGAACTTGGTGATTTTTAAGGCTATGTGGTCTGATGCACTGCTTTTTCCTCACTCCTCTTGGTTGAAAGCCTGTAGTCCCAGTTGTGATGTCTTTCACCACATCACTGAAAACCAAATGAAGGTTTTAGTGAGCTCAAACTGGACAAGACAGCTGTGGATCAAGGATGTTTAAATTGGTTTAGTGCACCTCCATCATGATGCAAAGCTGACACTTTTAGGAATGTTTTGTTTACCGGTGATTTGCATTTGTCATTTCACAGCTTGGGTCTTTATTTTAGTCATTTTGTGTTAAAGATATGCATCTACATGGAAATGTTGACACAGATGTGTTCAGATTTTGGTCATGTGAAGTTTAAATGTTAAAGATGGTTGTAATGTCTGTATATCACTGAATTTTGGTAAGGATTAAGAGGAGTCCCTGGACCTGATGGGGTATCTAGGCCAGGACCAGATGGAATACCTGGAAATCCAGGACAAGATGGACCAAGAGGTAATGCAAGGATAACCCTCATGTAAACAAGATAAAAGACTTTTGGTTTTGTCTGTTTTCATTTATTGTGGATTTTTGTACGATTCACAACCGAGACTCAGACAAACCTTTATGATGTTTAAAGGAGACCCAGGCCCAGATGGAGCTACAGGTTTCCAAGGACCACCAGGCATGCATGGAGACCCAGGCCCAACAGGCCCTCCGGGACCCCCACCCCCACCTCAAAACTTGACTGGACCTCCAGGGGACCCTGGAGAACCAGGTTCAGATTGTTATATTTTCTATAAGGGGTTTACATTTAGTTATGTAGGAGGTAGTTACACAGTATAGCACTGATACTAAGAAGTATTCCCTCTAATGCATGTCACATATTCTGGTATACATCAAGTTGAGGCAGTTTTTTTTGCATTTTTTAAGGACAACCTGGTCAGCACGGTCCTTATGGTGATCCTGGGAGAGCTGGAGCAAAGGGTTACAGAGGAAGTACTGGTCCACCAGGAGGTCCAGGACACAGAGGTTTGAAATTAATTATAAAAAGTGTGGAATTTTTGTCTCATAATTATCTTACAGTAATGGTTCTGGATACAGATCCGGGTTCTGGGTTCTTATCAGGAGACATACTTGGACATTCAATCGTCTTTACCCAGCTCTTTCTTCAGCAATGCAACAGTAGCTTTAATGTGTGTTTTGGATCACGTTAATGTGTTGGAAAAGTGCACGGTGACCAAGTGCACTGAGTGATGGCAGCATCTTCTCCTTCAGTATAGTGCAATACCTTGTTGAGTTCATGATACCATCAATGAAATGCAGCTCCCCAAAACCAGCAGCACTCATGCAGCCCACATAAAGACACCACCACCACCATGTTTCACTGTAGGCACCATGCATTTATCTTTGAAATCCTCACCTTTAAACCACCATACAGTTTTGAAACCATTAGTTCCAAAAACAGTGATCTTCGTCTCCTCACTCCAGAGTATAGAGTCCCAGTAGTCTTTATCTCTTTCAGCATTGACCCTAGAAAATCCTAGGCATGCTTGTTTGTGCATGGGCTTTAGGAGAGGCTTCCTTCATGGACGATACCCATGCATGCCATTCCTCTGAAGTGTGCGCCATATGGTGTCACAGCTCTTGCTACTACTTTAGCTAACTGCAGTGGACTTGCATGGTGATTTTCTTCAACCCTTCTCATCTGAAGACGCTCCTGTCGAGATGTTAACCTACGTGGGCATCTTGGATGTTTTTGTAAGACGGTTGCACTTCCATCTTTCTTAAATTGTTGGATCGCTTTTGCTTCAGTGTTTTGGCTGATATGTAAAGCTTTGCTGATCTTCTTGTAGCCCTCACCTTTTTTGTGTAAAGAAACAATTTCCTTTCTCAGATTTGGTGACATTTCTCTTCCATGTGGAGCCATTGCTGACAGCATGAAATGGGAAGGGTTTTTCTTTTTTAAGTAACGTCCTTTTATAGTCACCTGTCTGCTGGTCACCTCTTAAAGGAATCATTAGACTCACCTGTGGTTGAATGCCTGTTAATTTGAATTTTGTAGTTCTGTGTGGCTTTTCTCATGACTATAACTCAGGTGTACTCATTTTTGCAACATTGACTTGAATGTATTTGTTAGAAAAATCACTTTTTTGTGTGTGAAAATGAACAAATCTTGGTTGCAACCAATGGCCAACATGTGTGGGAATGTTTTGTAGTTATGGTATCTCTGAGAAAATGTTGATTCTGAAAGGAAACTGCGTTTTCTGATAAATGTAGTGGGGTGTACTCATTTATGCTGAGCACTGTATATGTTTGTGTGCACAGGTCCTCCAGGTGACCCAGGTATTGATGGGCCAGTGATGTCCCAAGGGATTCCAGGCCCTCCAGGAGCCCCAGGAGACCCAGGACACAGAGGTCATCCAGGTAAAATCCACTGTAAATGGACGTTTTGGAAGACCGCTTTTAAAATAAATTTTAAAGGTGCATTTTCCTGCAAAACAATTGCTTAATCTATCATTTCAAGGGGCAACAGGAATGAAGGGAGATACAGGAGTCCCTGGGAGACAAGGAGCTAATGGTGCCCCAGGTCCAACTGGTTGGAAAGGACCTGCTGGTGAGCCAAATTATGGATTTGGACCATCTGGATCGAAAGGACAGAAGGTAGTTATAACTAACTATATGTTGTTATAGACACCATCTAAAAACGGTTTTATTGCCATCTGTTACATTGTTTCTTAGTCATAAAATGTTTTGCATTGTTTTTATTTGTTTTATTGTGTTCTTAGGGTGAACCAGGCATAAGCAGTGCTGTCGTGCTGAAAGGTCAAAAAGGAGAAGCTGGTATTGAAGGTCCAAGAGGTCTAGATGGAATTCGTGGAGCCAAGGGAAACCCAGGAGTTGTTGGAGAGAATGGTTAATTATTCTTTTAGTTCCCCCTTTGCTCATTCCTTGTTGATGCTAACCAAACTCCTGATCATACCCTACTGCTTCAGGTCCCCCAGGCCTTCCAGGTCCAGAAGGTAGTGCTGGTTTTCCAGGAATAAAAGGATACATGGGACCTAATGGAATGCCAGGTAATTCCTATAATAAGAGGTAACAACAAATATTTTCAACAAACTTTCAACACAAAGCAAAACCATTCCTTTATTTTCCATTTCAGGCAGTCCAGGCCCACCGGGTAAAAATGGAGAGCCTGGTCATAAAGGAAACCAGGGTTCTGACGGTTTTCCTGGGCCACCAGGGCAGAAAGGGGAAACTGGTAAGATAAAAAAAACACTCTTATTTTAAATTGGTTTCATTAGACACATGATGCTTCTTGTAGATCAAAAATTTCCTGGTTTGTCATCTATTGTTCCTTTTCTTTTCTACAGCCATAATAGCAGGCCGGCCAGGGAAACCTGGTGATCCAGGTCAGCCGGGTGAGTCACAGGGCAATACAATCACTCTTAAACATAAAAAAAGAATAAACAAGACATGAAAGTTTGCACAAGCACACTTGCAGGAATAACGAAAACTTGACTGACCTTTTCCTCAACTGCTTCCCTCTGAGTATAGGCAGAGGTAACATACAGAACCTCAGCTTTTAAGTACAGTTCATTGAGATTCAAGTGAAGTCACTCTAGGTTGGGAAAATACCTGACCATAGATGGCTAAGCATCACAATCCAGTAAAACTCACTTAGTATCTTCTCTGGATTTTATCCATGTCCCTTCCTTTGCATGGACTTTAAAGGCTAACATGAAGAACATTAGCTTGTGTGGATTAGTTTTTAACAAAATTAATAAAAGATTCTTTAGCTGTGGAGAATTTTCTGATTATGTATTCACTCATCCTGTTTTGCATTCGTTGTCTATGCCTGCTTCAGTCTATTCTAGGGAACTGGTGTTTATGCCAATCCATCACTGGCAAGAGATAGAATACACCCAGGGCCACTTCTCCCCGCTGATTGTGCAAACCCCCCCCCCCCCCCCCCCCAAAATACAGCAAATAAAATTCTAAGTTATCAAGATAATGTATCTATTGTTTCTTTATATCCTGAAAGACAGGTCCTCCAGGGGACACTGGATATCCTCGCTTGCCTGCAGCTGGACGTCCTGGGCGAATAGGAGACAGAGGTCCAACAGGTCTACCAGGCATCCAAGGTGAAAGAGGACAGCCAGGAAGGGAAGGAACTTGTGCTCCGGGGCCCAAAGGAGATCGTGGATTATCTGGCAACCCTGGGAGTAGCGGTAAATGAGTTCTACCAAAACACAATTTTTTTTTTGTGCCACAATCATCGACATTAATATAGGCCACAATCTTAAAATTCATAAGAGAAATAAGTTTGGATTTTTGAAAGATAGAAATGCTGTCGAACTATACATTTCTTTACGATTCATGTTGCTGTTGTTTTTTGTTTCATTTATTCACGTAACCAAGGTTCTTTAACAGTCATTTCCAAGTCAAGAAAATGACAACTTTTAACCGTATTTTTTAACTTGACTAATTAAAGTATGATGTTTGGACAGTTTTTTAAGCACCTTAGTTACTATTTTCATGACTGATTTATGTCTGACCATACTGTAGGCTATCCTGGCCCACCAGGACCTCCAGGCCCCACGGCATATGGGTCCAAAGGAGACAGAGGAGATCCAGGTCATTTGGGTATCCCTGGTTATTGTGGACCACCAGGAGATCCAGGCTTTCAAGGGCCACCTGTGAGAGTTTGAACGTTTTGTCACAAAATTGAATATTAATGTAGATTTTAGGTTAATTAGTCTTATTTAGTTCTTTTGATGTCAAAACATTTTTATGTAAACCAATGCTTTCAATTAATTTTTTCCTCTCTCTCGCTCTCTTTCTTTGAAGATACATTTTTATTTTTATTTTTACATACATTTTACATACATTTTTAAAGTCCTCTTGGTCTTCTAAAAATGTTTCTAAATTGATTAATTTTTATTTTTCATAATGCAGGCTTACATTTGTGTACCTTCTAAGTGCCAAATGAAATTCTCACTGCAACACTGTAATTCTAATCTTTGACTTCTTTCCATCCTTTATGCCTCTCTAGGGTCCAATAGGTTTACCCGGAGGCCCAGGATCAAGAGGCGATCCAGGCCCTTCTGGAGAACATGGCCCCCCTGGTAATCTATCATCCTTCAACTGCGGACAAAGCGTGATCTATCACTACAGGAGAACAATACTCCAGAGTTGATTTATGTTCTTGCAACAGAGGATCACATAGAATTGAGAATAAAGTAGACAAAGAAAAATAAGATTTATGAGACTTCATTCCCCTTTGTCTGTGATACCTCACATACTAGTGTTTTTATAATGGGATGTGAGTACGAACTAATCCCTTTGATTTCTGTATGCATTCTATGTTTTAGGTGACGTTGGAGATCCTGGATACATCCCAGGTTCGCCTGGTCGACATGGGCCCAAAGGTTTTCCTGGATCCCCAGGTGTGCTAAATATTTGCCTTAGTGGAAACCTCAAATATTTTTCCCATCTCAGATAATCCTTGTTACATTTGCTGCACACAGTATACATTTTCAAACACATTCTAAGTCCTCTCATTTTGTGTACATACAGGCATCAAAGGTCAACCAACATATAGAAGGGTAATCTATGAACCAGGAGATCCTGGTCCACGTGGTTCTCCAGGTAATCCAGGATTCCCAGGGGTTACTGGACTACCAGGACCAACAGGACCTCCAGGTTATTATTAATATATATATTTTTTCAGTATATGCAAAACAACTTTAAAATGTGCTTTCAGGGGTAATTTCTATGTTATTGATAAATGTCATGAAATGGAATACATATTTTTGTCTTTCTTTCATGTATGCTGTATGCAAATGCAAATTTTATTAGATTTTTCCTATCTGCATTTTTATGCATTGCATGAGTGCATTAATTTCAGGAGCGCCTGGCATCAGAGGAGCACGTGGAGGAAGCCCACTGGGCCCTCCAGGATTTACTGGCTACAAAGGGGACAAAGGAAAGGCAGGACTGCCAGGTGTGTCACTTACACTATGAGGGTTGGACACGCCACAATGTAAACACAATTTAGGCATTTTAAGACCAATTTTCATTTATTTGTCTGGGTACATATCACATTATATTTTCCTTGTACTTTCCAGGTCCAGAGGGAAGGCCTGGATACCCAGGCCATAAGGGTCTTAGAGGTTTGCCTGGCAGAGCCATTACAGGTTACACTGACAGTTTCCTGGTAGTCAGGCACAGTCAGAGCACTCAGGTCCCTGATTGCCCTACTGGTACCAGCCTCATGTACACTGGTTACTCCTTCCTCTTCATCAATGGAAATGAGAGAGCTCATGGTCAAGACCTTGGTACGAAAACACCCCCAGAAATAGCATGTATAATATCCATCACCACATTCTGTAGCTTGGCTTCAATATGTCTTTGACTTTTCATCTTTCAGGCACCACAGGGAGCTGTCTCCCTCGTTTTTCCACAATGCCTTTTGTGTTCTGTGACACGGAGCACACCTGTCGTTATGCTTCTCGTAACGACTACTCCTACTGGCTGTCAACTGATGAGCCAATGCCGGCAAACATGGTTGCCATCACAGCTGACAGACTGGCCTCCTACATCAGTAGGTGAGACAAGAACATGTACATAAACACATTTCTTTCTTTTTTTTTTTTTTTGCTTTTTACACAACATAAAACAAACACCATGCTATTTATGTGCATGATTTAGGTGCTCAGTGTGTGAAACCACCTCAAATGTCATAGCCATTCACAGTCAGAAAACTCTGATACCTGTATGTCCAAGAGGTTGGGAGTCAATGTGGACTGGATACTCATTTGTCATGGTAAGATAAAGGTCATTTTAGCATCTGGATGTCTTGATCAACCTTATTATATAAACTGTATTTAATGGTTGAATATTCTGTTATAGCAAACTGGTGCTGGGGCGGAAGGATCTTCTCAACCCCTGATTTCCCCCGGATCATGCATGGAACATTTCCGCCAAGTGCCTTTTATTGAGTGCCATGGCAGAGGGACCTGTAACTACTACCCTGATTCCTACAGCTACTGGTTGGCCTCTCTTGACCCCAGTAACATTTTCAGGTAAAAAAAAAAATGTGTTCCAGTTTACCATTTGAATATGAATAGATTAAAATGTACCTTCTGAAGGAGAAAAATGTGCTTTATTGTATATTTGTCTTAGTATATGCTAAGCTAGTAGACATTAATTCATCAGCAATCTACTGAAGGGGATATTCCATTCCAAAGTGAAATTCAATCTGTTGCCATTTTCCCCAGATTTAGATCAATCGGTAAAATAATTTTGTAACCAACCTCATTCTCTTAATCTGGCAGTATTATGTTAGCTTTAGCTTAGCACAAACAATGTAAGTGAATGATAACAACTAGCACTGCACAAGCACGTGATGCAGCAGCGTGATGTCTGGCAGACGTTGTCACTTCTGAGTTTACTGTATAACATTTACAACATCTCACCATAATGACGGTAAACAGTGAGTTTTGTGGTTGCTGCGTCATGTCCTTGTGCCTTGCAGGGGCAACTTACTGCAGTGCTTTGTCGTAATATAGTCCCAAGTCAAAAATAAACTCGTGTAATTCCTCCATGTTTGTTACTGATATGAATATTGTGGTGAACAAGAAAAAGTAGGATCATTATTGAATAATATTCTTGACTTTTTTGTTAAATGCTAGTTGTTACCATTCATGTACATTGTTTATGCTAAGCTAAAGCTAACAGATTAGAAAAATGACTAGTAGTAGGCTAGAAGTAGGCTAGTTACAAAATGCTTTTCTCTATTTACTTAAATCTGGACAACATGGCAACAGAGTCAATTTCAATTTGGTGTGGAATATCCCTTTAAGATGTAATTTCCTTCTATTTCTAGTACTGTGCATGTGTGTTTTTGCTTATTCCTGCAGTAAACCATCTCCGCAGACAGTGAAGGGAACTTTTCTACAAAGTGTCATCAGCCGCTGTCGTGTCTGCAGAAAGCTGTGAAAGAGAGGGACAGGTGATCGACTTTAGCAACAGTATTTACAAACAAGTTATTTTGATGCAAGAACTTTAGTAGTCTTTTTTAAATGTACATACTTGTGTTAGGTAATATGGCCTTGTAGTGATGCAGATGTGAGGAAAACATCCCAACAGATGTATAAGGGCATCATTATTTTATTAATGACAAGTTGTTTTTAATTGTTATTCTTGTAATTTAAATTTTAATCTAAAGTCTTGTTGTCTCTTTTTTTCAAGCTTTCTTCTCTTGCTCATATTTAAAGAAAACTGATTGTGACCAACCAAAGTTAAATTGTGAAAATGTACAGCTTTTATTAATTAAAGACCCATCACTGCTCTTCAAATGCTGTTTGAGTTTATTTGACTATACTTCTTGTGTATTGAAATGACTAGATTACTTAGAAACAATAACCCATTACATCACCAACATATCTCTGATACCTTGAGCCAGTAAAATCTATGACGTCCATAACAGTAGGTAACCATAAATTATGCTGATTTTCCTCTAACATCTGTCTGTGATGGATTAAAAAGTGTTATTTTGTTACTTCCATTTGCAAATATGAAGTAATTTGTTCCCACACGCTTAGAGCATTTCATATAATGTCACAATGTTAAATGGAGCATGAAAGAGATTTAACTTTGTGACTCATACTGCCTGATACTCTTTCCAAGCTCTTTCTAAATATACTGTGAGAAGGAAATGCTGCAATAAAATGATGCCTTCTTTGTGTCTTAAGGACAAAACACATCATTAGGATTTAGGGAAAATACTTATTATGTTTTGCTTTTGTGTTTCAGTTTTTGGTTTTAGCTTTTAACAATACAGAATAATTAATAAAAAACATATCAAAATTCAGCACTTGTGGCAATTAATGCTTGGGTTTTAATGCAAGATTGGAACTCCCTTTATGGAGTTTGCGTGTTTTGCCCAGCACCAGTTTTACCACAGTCCATAAACAGACCTACTGGGTTGAGTGAAAACTGTAAATAGCCTTGGTGTTAGTGTGAGAATGATCCAGTATGTATGGAAGCCCTGAAAAGCAACGGAGAAAAAAAAAAACATTTTTGTTGTAGTAATTACAGGTGCTGGCCAGTAAATTAGAATATCATCAAAAGGTTGAAAATATTTCAGTAATTCCATTCAAAACGTGAAACTTGTACATTATATTCATGCAATGCACACAGACCAATGTATTTCCAATGTTTATTACGTTTAATTTTGATATTTATAGGTGACAACCAATGAAAACATCAAATCTGGTATCTCAGAAAATTAGAATATTCTAAAGGCCAATGAAAAAATGTTTGTTTCTCTAATGTTGGCCAACTGAAAAGAATGAACATGAAAAGAATGTGCATGTATAGCACTCAATACTTAGTCGGGGCTCCTTTTGCCTCAATAACTGCAGTAATGCGGCGTGGCATGGACTCGATCAGTCTGTGGCACTGCTCAGGTGTTATGAGAGCCCAGGTTGCTCTGATAGTCGTCTTCAGCTCCTCTGCATTGTTGGGTCTAGCGTATTGCATCCTCCGCTTCACAATACCCCATTGATTTTCTATGGGGTTAAGGTCAGGCGAGTTTGCTGGCCAATCAAGGACAGGGATACCATGGTCCTTGAACCAGGTGCTGGTGGTTTTGGCACTGTGTGCAGGTGCCAAGTCCTGTTGAAAGGTGAAGTCTGCATCCCCATAAAGTTGGTCAGCAGCAGGAAGCATGAAGTGCTCTAAAACTTCCTGGTAGACGGCTGCATTGACCCTGGACCTCAGGAAACAGAGTGGGCCAACACCGGCAGATGACATGGCACCCCACACCATCACTGACGGTGGAAACTTTACACTGGACCTCATGCAACGTGGATTCTGTGCTTCTCTGCTCTTCCTCCAGACTCTGGGTCCTTGATTTCCAAAGGAAATGCAGAACTTGCTTTCATCAGAAAACATAACTTTGGACCACTCAGCATCAGTCCAGTCCTTTTTGTCCTTGGCCCAGGCGAGACGCTTCTTGCGCTGTTTCTTGTTCAGGAGTGGCTTGACACACGGAATGCGACACCTGAATCCCATGTCTTTCATGAGTCTCCTCGTGGTGGTTCTTGAAGCGCTGACTCCAGCTGCAGTCCACTCTTTGTGGATCTCCCCCACATTTTTGAATGGGTTTGTCGTCACAATTCTCTGCAGGGTGCGGTTATCCCTAGAGCTTGTACACTTTTTTCTACCACATTTTTTCCGTCCCTTCGCCTGTCTGTTAATGTGCTTGGACACAGAGCTCTGCGAACAGCCAGCTTCTTTAGCAATCACCTTTTGTGTCTTGCCCTCCTTGTGCAAGGTGTCAATGATTGTCTTTTGGACAGCTGTTAAGTCAGAAGTCTTCCCCATGATTGTGGTGCCTTCAAAACAAGACTGAGGGACCTTTTAAAGGCCTTTGCAGGTGTTTTGAGTAAATCAGCTGATTAGAGTGGCAGCAGGTGTCTTCTATATTCAGCCTTTTCAGAATATTCTAATTTTTTGAGATACCAAATTTGGAGTTTTCATTAGTTGTCACTTATGAATATCAAATTTAAATGTAATGAACATTGGAAATACATTGGTCTGTGTGCATTGCATGAATATAATGTACAAGTTTCACGTTTTGAATGGAATTACTGAAATATTTTCAACCTTTTGATGATATTCAAATTTACTGGCCAGCACCTGTATATGCTTTTATTTTTTCACAGTTCTCATCAAAAAATTGGCAAAAGACAGTTTTTTTTTCTCTTGTAAAAAGAGAAAAAGGTTTTTTTTTACTCATTTACTGCCATTGATAACTAAAGATATCATTGTAAATCCAACCGTTTGCTGCCATTGACGACTAAAGTCGTCATTTGCATTTTGCGGGCATCGGAACAAGCCCCTGTGCTGTGACAGCAAACATTACGGCTCTAAAGCTGATCTTCGTCCGCATATGTTACTTGTCATGTGATCGGGAAGCAGAAAAGTCATGTATTGGTGGATCGTTTTGGGCAGCTGCTGTGAAAAAAGCAAGGAGCGAACCGAAAAAGCTTCTGCCGCTCATAATTCGACAACGGATTAGGAAAGAACCGATAACTCTAGAAACACGTGGATTCTTCCTGACGTAAGAAGTGAGTTAACTCTTTGTTTTGGTTGTTTTGGTTGTTTTTGGCATTGACATCATTGTAGCATGGATAATCTGCATAACCAGGATTTAACGCTGTTGCTATTCAGCTTTGTTAGATTCCGAGAAAGATCAAACAAATTAGCAAATTAAGCTTATATCATGTATAAATATCCAGGATATTTATAGAATTGATAGAAGTTCATACACCAACGGGCTTGGTCTATATTTAATCCAAAGATTAATATTTAATTTAAGATATTTAAATTAATTGCAAAAGTTTGTTTATTAAATCAGAAGACTTAAAGGAATCCATTCTGTGTTTCATTTCAAAGAAGAGTCAGGTTTAAAAAGTTAAGAATTTATTACTAACAATTTAAAGATGACAAATTAAATGACAATTTATAAATGGCAATTTATAACAGCTTTGATATTAAAACTTGGTATTAAAAGCAACCTGTGTCTGGGTGAAAACTAAAATGAAATGCGTGTGTCTGGATGCATGGATGGAATCTCAGAAGGTTCCTATCAGAGAGAAACGCATTCTGGGTGAAAGACTTTGTTTTGCAGCTAATTAATTATTTCTTAAAGACAACAGCATACAGACGCAATCTGTCGGAAGTGTCTACATCACCCAGTTAGGAGAGCCCCTTCTGGATCCGAGATGTCAGGTGGGATGACGAACCCAAAGCACGAGGTGGGTAGAAGAACCTTGATGCGACCAAATCGGTCCTGAGATGTCTCCAGGTCACAACGACTGATGAAATTGGTTGCGTCTCAAAAGAATCGATAACTCTGAAGGAGTTGTGCGTCAGCTGGTGGCAGGTGGCGTTTATTCGGAGCGATTCTATCGACGTGACAGAACAGCTTATGTGGAAGCTTCGGGCGGCCGACCCTTATCCTCTGGGACTCTCGTGCCACGGAGAGATTTTGGTTGGTTCAGAACTGTCAGCTTGAACTGAGGAGTTTGGTTTTAACACAACCTCAGGACACGCCCTCTCAGAGATAGAAAGCTTTGGTTATGGAGCAAAGACATGTGAGGTGGTTACCTTTAACCTGAATTCAGCGTCCTGCATGGTGCGTATAAGTGTACGTGACCTTCTGGTTACTGATCAAACATTACTGATTGTCATAAATAATAATTATTATTAACCAAAGAATAATAAGTCATTTCAGTAACTAAATACATTTATAATGAACCATAATGATTATTTATGATGATTATTTATTAACCTTGTAATAAACAGTGAAAAGAGTTTATTAAAAATTATTATTTTAAATCTTGAAGTGTCCTTCATCTTGGGACGGCACAGCAGACAGATCAAAGGCAGTCAGATTAAAAATGGTTTAGCAGACTTTATGTCTCCTGTAACGGATAATCTGTGGACAGAAGTACAGCTTGACCCAGCTCGACCTAGCTGGGGAAGTGTGACCTTTGGGTCACAAATGAGGCCATTCATGTCGCTACATCATCATAGAGCACAATGTTCTGTGACTCTTCAAAAAAAGAGTAAAAACACTCACAAAACGCTGGAAGCCAGGGGCTTTTCTGATCAGGAAACAGCTGGCAGCGAATGAGTTAAATCAGCCAAAAATGAAAAAGTTAGTTTTCTTCTGAACATTTGCAAAGTTTTTATTTATTTATTTTTTCTGAGCCCAGAAAGGCAAACAAAAAAGTATGCTTTTCTCTTGTGAATTTCCCAAGTACCGTATTTTCCGGAGTATAACCCTTTGATGCATAATGGTCACCACAGTGGACAGGTACTCAAAATTGTTATTTATTAGTTTTTGCTATTCAGCACAGCTGTTGAAGACTTTATTGTATTTGAGCCCTTCCATTTGGACTTCAGTAAGTAAAGCCAACATATTTCATGCTCAGAATGCACGCTGTCCACTGAGGTGGACATGTAATAAATTATTTGTAAATTATAAAATTTTACAAAAAATATTTGTTGAAATTTGTTTCATTCACACCTAAAGACGAATGAAAAAAATTGTTTAAAAAAATTATGGTTGAAGATTTCATAATTCATGCATCAAAGGGATAAGTTGCTCCAGAGTATAAGTCGCACCAGCCATAAGATGTATAATGAAGAAGAAAAAAAAAACATATAAGTTGCACTGGACTATAAGTCACATTTTGGGGGGAAATTTTATTATTTTTCTTACAAAATCTGAGACCAAGCGTTTCACATTGCAAGACAAGTACCGGTAACATTAACAGAATAAACTACCAGGGTACAGCAGCGCACCACGGTCTCCAGCAGAGGATGGCGGTGTTTCAAACCCTCCCAGCGGGATAGGGGAGCTCATTCCTGGAGCCACCCGGCCTGTGGCAGCTCGCCACAGGCTCCAGCAGGTGATGGCGGGGCAGAGGAGCTGAAATCTGGACTGGAGCCAGCCCGCAGCAGTGCACCACGGTCTCCAGCAGGTGAT